CCTAAGAAGCGCAAGAAGTCCGGCGAAGACAAGACAAGGTCGCACTGTTTTCTGTTTTTCTTTGGCTGCCTTTGGCTGCTTGGCATTAAGTTATCAAGCACTCCACACCAATCCGGCGTGTGTACTTCGCATTTCTTCGCGTATCCAAAGGTGCGTATGCGTACGTGCCGCCTGCTGGGGAAACAGGTGCACTCAGGAAGCAGCTGCACTGGTTTTTATTTAGCAATGCACTTTGAGTCCCTAGCTGAATTTGTTCACTTCGTGTATATTCGCTTGGCTACCGCACCAATTTTATTTTCGATCTGGACGCACATTCACTTTCGTTCGCATAGGCCTGCCACCGTTAGCCAGTTCGCCCAGAATTGGGAATCACCAAGCGCAGCCAATGTGGATTCAGTACCGCACTCGGCAGTGTTTACAGACGCACTGAAGCCGCACCGCTAGCGTCTGCGAGGTCTAACCCGCTGAGAGTCGCATTCAGATACACTTTCGTGTGTGTGTGTGCGCTCGCTCTCGCCGCTCTCTGCACTGTGAGAAACACTAGCCTGATCGGCGGTGAACGTTTTTTGTACAGTTTGATAACTCATTTTTGGGCTCATGCTTATATCTTCCATGGTAGATTTAAACGAAGTCGCAGCAAATTACTTAGGTAAGCCACGCTGATCTGACTTCAAACACCATGTGAATAGAATGAGTGTTGGGTGAATGCAGTGTGGGTGTGTGTTGGCGCTCCGTGGGCGAGTGAGCGGGCGAACTAGTTCTGTCTGCGGCTCGCTCTCTTCGGAGAGCGGAAAACTGGTTTCCAATCAGACTTGGACTTCGCCGGCATGTGGGTTTCCTCATGGAAATCCAGGGATTGGGGATGGGGATGGGGATTCGCGGTCGAGCGACGCCGGATGGGCTTGGGCAGAGCTACATAAATGACCAAAGTTGAAGGGCGAGGCACGGCTAGAGTTTACGGTCTTGTAATAAATCAGGGGGTTTTCAAAGCAGAACTCTTTAACTAGTAAGCATATGTACACATGTATCTATGCAGTATATTCAGTTACTAAAATACAACAAAATTCAAGAACTTTACTGTCTGATTTCATAGTTCCCCACATACTCCACTTGAAGTTGTAACATTTTACTCGAACTATCTGCATATACACAAAGTAATTTCAGGATCGATTAGAAACTTTAAGGCTGGCGAAACTAAAATCCAGGAAATAAGCCCTAAACTTTGGCACTATGCAAGCCCAAAAAGGTGAAAGAAAGTTCAACATTCAGGCGAGATATTCAATTCCGAAAAGTCTTAGATTGCTTTGGTTTGATGTTGCACCATGAGTTTTTAAACCGCAGAGAAACAACAAAGAAAAGCAAAAGTTGAAAAGCTAAAAAATTAATTATGACAAAGTCAAAAAGTCCAAAAATTATTAATGAAAGTGAAATTATCATCAGCGAAGCGAAAAACAAAATAAATAACAGATTTTTGTGGCTCGATAATTTGCGGATGAAAACGAAGCAAATAAAAACCAGCTGATGCGCCAAGTAAAATTCATTAGACTTTGATAGATGAAGTTGATGAGTGGATGTCGCTGATGGACTCGCAGAGTTGTGAAAATCTGAGCGAAAAACGCGGAACCAATTTTATTTGTTTGCCTTTTGAGAGTAATTTAATTAGTTGACGCACGGCAAACCTATGTTTGCATTTGACCCGAGGCGCTCAATTAAGAATTCATGAATCAGACCCTAATTAGAGGTCGCCACTTAACAAATTGATACTGGTTTGTATACACATTGGAGCAGACAGACCCTCGAACTCACAGATCTGCTCGAAGGTGTTAGAACGTACCCTGTTCTGACCAACCGAAGGGTATGCAAGTTTGTCCTCGAGCCCGGGGCACAAAAAGTTGCATCTTGTAGCTAAGTGGCATTCCTCTGCCCAACGGTTAAATATTTGTGGAGCACGGTGTGGACATGAAAATGGTATCATAGCACGCTTTTCACACAGCCGTGTGAAAAGTACACACCGCCCAGCTGGGGGAGGGCACTTTGGATGCAGGCCTCCTCTCTCCTCCATCCACCAGGCTCGAGATGACGATGGAGTCGCCGCGAAGGTATGCTCCAGTTACAGAAGTCAGAGTGTTTGTCCAGCTCAAATACAGTGAGGCCTACGAAACTGTGCCCTTGCCAGCGAGCTCATAATTAAGGGTCATGGAGTCGAAAGCAACAGCATGGCATATTAAGTATGAAGCAGTGTCTTAAAATATTTTTCAAACACATATAGAACCGCTCCGAGTTCTGCCCTGGTAATTCGGCCTGTACGCGCTCGAAGTTGCAATTGCGGACTCAGCTCGGCCGGCTGCAAGTTAATGGCTAATGGTCAGCAGCTGCCGCAGCCAAAACAGACGTGCTCCAATTGTAAACAAAAATGTTGGAGCTCGGATCGCCCAAGCACACTCGCCTCGAGGCGCACTGGTGTTGGTTTGTAGCTGCATCTGTATTTGTATCTGTATTGGTATCTGCATCAGCAACTGTATCTGCATCTGCATCAGCGTCAGCATCTGCTCCGGATGGCAGCGAAGTCTGTCAAGTGGGTTGCGATTCCGACTTCCCCTTCGCCACAAAAAGCACCGACTTTTTGCGTGCTGAGCACATTTCCTATAAATAGTAGCTGTAAAGCATAAATAAAACGAAAAGGGGCTACTATTCATGCCATCTATCAAGTTGCAGGCAACCGAGATGAAGTTTGCGCTCAAATGATTTGTTTAGACGGCCTGCCACTAAGTGGAGGCTGTTAAGGCCGCTTTGGTAGTGCCGAAATGATTGCATGGCGAATTATTTAAGGCGTATTATTCGTTTAAGGCCTTCACTTTAAACATCACTTACCCTAAGCGAGATCGCCTCAATGGATGGTATAAATCAAGCTGCGCCCGCAAAGCAGCTGACATTGGCTGGCCGATGGCTTCAGTATCCATGTCATAAACAAGAACTTCCGATTGCGGCGTCTGCTCAAGTGGCAAGTGCCACGAGCGGCTAGGCGGAGGTCCTTATTAAAGCCCAAGCCGAATAAAACACAAAACTTTCAGCAGCTGAAGGGCGACAGCCTGCAGACCCAAACAGGTGGCATCGGCAGTTGGCTCAGAGACAAGTTGTGGAGTGTGGGTCGAGGGACGGAAGGGCGGGCGGACTTCCGCCGATGTCCTGGCCATTTCGTAGCCAGGTGGCCGCCTCGCCTTCGCCAGGTCAAGCGAAAAGGCGTCAGGGATATCAAGGATTCATAACTCATTTACCGACCTCTTGATGAGACGCCTTCGATATCAGGACGGAGATGGAATCACTTGCAGTGGCTTGAATTAATAATGACACTAATCCAGTTATGGAAGTTATATTTATTTTATTAAATTTTATTTGCAAAATATCGATTTAATATGGATAACATATTTGGTTTATTTATTTTCGTTTTAGTTGCTTGCTTTTTCGCATTCAGATTCACATTTTAAATGATATATTGTTGCACGATGATTTATTATGCGAAACATTTACCTTTTTTGCCACTAAATATTTGTATTTTTAGTCTGACTTTCGGTGTGGGCCAAGAACGCATTTAATAGTGCGCTTTAAGGTTCCGAAGCCAACGAATATTCACATTTAACTAATGTGCTTTTAACCATCACCTAAAAAAGCACATTAGCTTTCGATTTCTATCTCATTCGAGTCGCTTACACAAGCAACGGAGTCGAAGACTCGAGTGAAATACAAATAATGCCTAATTAATTGCCCATTAATCTAGTTTTTATTCAACTTAAGCCTTGAAAATACTTTTAAGGAGACTTAACGCATATATGATGGCAGCCAATGTGTAGATATAGATGAGCACCGCTGAGTTCCCGTCGCCCATCAAAAGATTCATTTACACAAAACTTACGCTCACTTGCAGCTCCTCAAACATTTCCATTCGAAACACATAGTATTTACAAATCAATCGAGGCATAAAACCGTCTATACTGCATGAGAAACCCAGAGCCCATGAGTTCTACTAAGAAAATATTGAGTTGCGGCACAGAAATGATGGGTATGGGTTTCTTTAATAAACTTGGAAATGCAACGCACAGCGCTCAGTAAACTCTGCAACTCCACACGGAATATGGAAAGCAGTAAAAGCCATACAATCATTGGAAAAGTTATTTGTTTTGACGGGGCGTAGGAGCGTGGGCGATATGGCCGGAATGCATCTGCTCCCTAGCCAAATTCATATGTAAATGCATAAGTTTGTAGAAAGCTCAGGTTCAGGGGAGAACTATAACTTTTCAAATCAAATTATTACTCATAAAGCGATAGGTCGCGTTGTTAAGTGGCTTGTTCCTCGGAGTTTTTATGGTTCCACAATTGAGTGAAGCCAGGTCTCAAAACGTTACTTGCCTAATTTGCAGATAGGTATACTTAAGTCGCTTCAAGAACTTTCGCTTGCTTAAGTGTTTAACTACTGAAAAGAAATAGATTAGGAAAAAATACCCATCGCAATTAGCAAACATAATCGACAAGCCGCATATTGATCTGATACATCGAAATGAATGGATTGCGTACATGTATTCTAACTATCCTATGTGGTAAGATTAGACAAATGGTAACCCGAGAAATAATATCTTATTGAATAATGCCTTTAGCAACTATTTATCTCGCTGGTAACTAACCAATTATATTTACTCCTGAAAAATTATTAAACTACTTCTACTCGGTCTGTTGAAGTACAATCCCCAGGCATTTTCTGGCAGGACAGCAATGTGACGAAAAGGGACGAAAGAGCAAGCCGCTTCAAAAGGATTGTTTTCCTGCAGAAACAGGTTATCCTTAAATTGCAATCCCAGTTGCTGGAACAAATCCAGGATTGCAGCAACCTCAGGCAAGGAGTTCGCAGGATCATTGCTAGTTACAAGAATTTAAAGTCCGAGCTTGAAGAACTGAAGCCGAAAAGTGGCGCAACTGACGGCCCCAAGATAACTTGAAAATGCAATATGTGGATTTTTTGGATAAAACAATACTAATTATTAATTGATGGAATGAACCATGAATTTATTTTAGAGCTTGACGCATATTTTTTTATCCTTCGGGCACCTTCCTTTAACGATTTCGGTGAAGGCTGTGGAAGTGTGTAAATATTTATAATGTTGCAAGCCGAGTTGCATATATATGCAATGTATTCCACTTACGTTTCAGCTTTTTTTGTTCTCGACGGCATGAAATACGTTCAACCTGGCAACGATTTAGAGCGGTAAACACACATGAGCCATCCGCAACCTTTCCACAATGAACATCACTTTTCCAGCCGCAGGTTAGGCACTCGTCTGCAATGGTTTTTCCCAACACCAAAAAAACTATGACTACAGGTCCATTATTAAGCCAATCAATCTAAAATGGCGAAGGACATACCAAATATGAAATGTATCTTCATGCCGATACGCCAGTTTCCAAACTACTTTGGTACTCGAAAGTACTCGAAATAACACAATAAACGTCTAACTCGATTACAGAATTATGACTGAAACACATCTTATTTGTTACACTTAACACCTGATTTTTGTGCTAAGTATCTAAAGGTAGTGTAGTTCACCACATCGCAGAAACGCTTTTAAAGTTCTCCTCAAAAATGTTAAGCGAAGTCTCCTATCTTACTCATAAAAATCAATATATTTTTTACGACCCTCGGCGTTGTGATGCGTTGTAAATTGATTTAATGGACAAATGGTCACTTCGAAGTTCCGGAGTGTGTTATAAACTGACTTCGAAAGAAATCGGGCCCATTTACGCAAGCTGACTGCACAAACGCCATGCATTTAAGACAACTCCTCACCGAATTGGGTATGCAGCAATATTCAACACTATTTAATACTAGATCTATTTTATACAAGCTGTTGTTCTACATTTTGCAGTTATCATCTTGACCATATTGACCCTTCCTGGAGATACCATTGCCGGCTTACAAGAGAAGAAAATCAAGCAATACCCTTGGATCCCGAAGTCGTCAACGCATATTACACCTTATAAGATATCTGGGAATATATGAAGAATTAAATGTGTTATCATGAACAAATAAATTTGGAAGACTTTTTCTGCCCAGTAACATATGTATATTCTAAAATGGGGTATTATATAGAAAGTTGCTTTCAATATGCCTGACAAGACAGATTTTCTTATGTTATGGTTTTGTTTTAGAAACATATTTGCCTTTCAATTTATTTTGACTTTTCACCTCATTTACCATATGATATGGAATTTATTAATGTAGCTATCTTATACAAATTGACTTGTGGCATTAAAATGATTTCTACAACTTAGTATAGGAATATCGGATGGTATAAACATCGGAATAATCAAATTTTTTTAGTTCTGTGTTAATGTAAATGCTCATTGCAATTGCCTATGTGAGACTCATAACATATTTTAAATACATTTACTTGCACCTTATTTCTTATCAGAGAAATGCAAGACAAGCCTGCAAGAATTGACCTCATCACGGTGAGCAATTTTTCACGCGACCAATGAATCTAATTGATTTTGGTCGCTGTTCCATTGCCGTACTGCTGACCACCTATACTGCTGACGACCTATAAAAGAGGGCACAATGCCATCAGCCATCAGTTCAGATTGACGATCATGAAATTCTTGACGGCATTTGCATTCGCCTGTGGTAAGTAGTGAATTATAGTGACGTTTGACAAACTAAAGGCAGCCATCGTAACTTTATTAGTGGCAACATTTGTGGTGCTCCACGGCGCCTACGGCAATCCACTACCGGGACCCGTTGCCGAACCGAGTCCAGTGGCCGAGCCAAAGCCCAATCCTGAGCCGGTAGCCAATCCTGAGCCGGTAGCCAATCCTGAGCCGGTAGCCAATCCTGAGCCAAAGCTCAATCCTGAGCCGGTAGGTAAAGGCACATTCAGGCCATTTGATCCCGCATTCTGGAATCCGGGGTACCAACCAAGCTCCGGACTCCAACAAGGAGTAGCAACAGCTTAATCCAACTGGAGCCTGTGCATCCGCACACAAGGGAGACACACACACATATATACTAATCTCCTGTACTTAATGTATGCATTTATGTACTCCAACTTACAGCATAGGCATTAATAAAATTGCAAAAAAATATATATTATTTTTTTTGGCAATATTTATTATTATTTATTCAAGGGCAACATTTAGCAAAATTTTGTTGGTTAGAATCTAAGTCATTATGAAGTATCAGTACATAATGAAGCATCTGACTTGCAGTCGGTAATTTGACCACCAAGAAGACGCCGAGCTTTGTTAGTCAAACTCAACAAGCAGAGGTTTTAGGGAAATGACGCGGAGTATTCGCTACACAAATCCATTTCCCACAACAACTTCCGCCTGGGAGTCTCCACTGGGCCACGGCAGTCACATGACATCGACACCGGCCAGCAGGGAGCGACCAAGTGGCCAAGAGACCAGATCCGGTCGACCAGATTTGCGTTGGACAAAAAAAAAATAAAATAAAAGAAGAAAAAAATCACTTGCAAAGAGGAAGCGACAGCTCTAACAAGTTTTATCAATGAAGTCAGCAGTGTAAGGTTGACGACGCCACAAATGCCGGCAATCCGATCGAAAGACCGACCGAGCACAAAGCCAATGTCTTGGGTGCCAACCGGCATTGGAGGGCATAAAACCACACGAGAGCCCCATTGATCGGGGCATCGTTGGTTAATCCATTTGTGGGGCATCATTACCGGGCTTATTCATCGCATACATGGTATGTAAATAGGTTTATTTGCATGTTTCCTTTGCCCCTACCGACGATCGTAAATTTGAACTCCGATTTGCGTTCGTTCTCAATCGTTAAGGCAGTGAACATTTTTGAGATATCAATTTACATGTTAACACATCGCGATTTGTGAATGAGCGGTGTTGACTGGCAAATTGGTCCAGTCGGCTGTGAATGAGCCGCCAGAGTATTGAAAGCCATTGATAGCGATTTCAGATAAGAAGCTCTACAGAAAGTAGCCCTTTGATAGACTAGAATTGGCCAGCTTAAAGCGATTGTCAATGAGTTAGAATGTTCCTTTGATTCCTCAATTCAGTTTTTAGCTGTTTTCGAAATTTCGATAAGTAGTTAAGCTACCTCTTTGGCATTACCATTCAAGTAGGATTAATTCTTTCAGATAGTCTCCGCTTTATTCGCTGCTTCTGATTCTGATTTCTATCTGAATGCAGAAGGCATCCCTCAGCTTAAAGCTACACACTTGTCAATAACTCAACATACCTTACGATAGACATTAAAGATTCTCAACGAAGACAGCATTACGAAGGAACTTTATTGCGAGGTTTCACTTTAAATGGTCGGTCCTAGTATGGGATACGGAATGCCTTTATGCAAATTGTACCATCTTTGCTTTCGATTGGTGACAAACAAGAAAGTTAGGCCCACAACAGCTAGTAACGGATAGGAAAATTTAAAGAAGATTATATATAATATAGAAGATTGTATACCTATAAATCTTAAGCTCCTCATCATCGACCAACAGTGTAATGGAAGTAGGAACTGTAATAAAATATTTAAAAACACCGCCATTAAGCAAATTGGCTGTGGTTAATCATATTCAGGATTCGTTATACTTTATGGTGTTAACCACTTCTGTTGTGAAAACGTACTTCTATTCTTGACTTGTTTACAAACAAAAAGGAAACATATCTTTAAGATTCTTTCGGGCTACGGAAATACTCACAAAAATGTTGTTTCGGCAGCGAAATATGTGCCAAAAACAACATCAAAAGCGGCACAATTAAAGCCAATGCAGGCTCCACATAATTATATTAACCAACTCTGAAGGGAAAAACAATGGAAATATTAAAGAAAAGGAGTGGAATGAACGGCAGATGGTAACGCATTAATTTATAATTATTTGGGCTTCCACCAAAGGGTTAATCAGAACAAGTGCCACTTTGTTGAAAGCACAGACGTACCAATTGAAAAAAATATATAGAACGGTTGTGTACACCTTAAAGTGGTTATCATTAAATGGATATCCAAACAGCATCAAATTACAATTTATCATTAAATTATTAAGTGCTGTGTGTTCAAATTGTAATGATATTTTTAAGTACAAAAAATGTTTTTTTGTTATATTCGCTGCTCAAATAGTAAGCCGCATTTGGGGAAAGTGTATGGCCGCAGCTCATGAGCTCATGTGGTGCGCATCTGAGAAACAGAAACAGAAGCCCAAATTAATTTTGTGGTCCGCTGACTTTTTTGATTATTATTTTGGGTCTGAAACAAATTTGAAATTAATTTTTCCTACAGTGCGGGTGCCCCAATAGCCGATTGAAATGGAGAGGGTGCCCCCACACTTGGCATCAGAATTGCATAAACAGACGCGGCAATTACTGATATCGACATTTGCATACGCTGCCAGCAGTCGCCCGCCTCATTAGAGCTAATCAAAATGAATACTCTAATCAAAGTGGTTTGATTGCAAATCATTTTCACTCGCACTTTCAGCATTTCACTTTCAATCTAATTGATTGAGATGGAAACCCCGGCCAGAAAAGCGGTTGGGGAAACCCGTTGCAGACGGCGAAACAACGAGGCAAGAAAATAAATTCGTAGAAATTAGCAAAACGTGAATCACAAACCGCACAGAGCCATTCAAAAAAAACAGCGTGCAGAAGACAGGCGTGGGAGCCAAGTTGGGGAATCGGAAAATTGCAAATCCATTGAGCACTTACTCAATTTTCCCGTTCAAATTGAAATAATCCGAGCTTAGAACTCACGTCTTATCGGAGATTCACGCTCGTCCGAGTTGTGTGCTCTGCGATTGTTTAAACAATCAAAGTTTTCCTGGCCAAAGTTCACGCACAATACACCACTCCACTGGCATTAGTTAATTAACTGATTAGCCCCAAATTTGGTCATTTCTGTACTTTGGCCATCGAGTGGGACAAAGGCGATAATCCGGCCCAGAAAAATAGCAGAAAGGTTAGTTAATTGGATCGAAAATCTGCCAGGGACAAAGGAAGCCAAGACGCAATAGAGGGTTTTTCAGATAAATATAATATTCTGGGCGGTTAAGAAAAGCAAATATAAAAAGCAACCAATGATTTCCGCCGGCTTATCATCATTGTACAAAAAGTGCAAAACATCGAAAGGCAACTGAGACCTGCGTACACAGCTGAAAAAATAAACAAATCAAATGTGATTGCTTTAAATGCGTTAAAATGATGGATCAATTAAAATTCGGTTATTCACTCTAGCAGAGACCCCAACATTCATCCACAAACCCATAAGGGAATATGCCTTTAAAGTTGAGAGGCAGCAAAACGGACATTCTCCCCACTTCCCGGTGAAAATAGCAACGTGCTAATATTTATCTTGAATCGTATGTCAAAATTATGGGGCTTGTATGTGACAGGAAATGGAGCTTATCTGCAGATGACGCAAAATGAACGCCTTTGTGTTGACGGCCTAATATTGTTTATGATTGGAACTATTTATTTGTAATTGGATCATAATAATTGTCAGAGGATTCCGGAGAGGAAGGGCTGTCGAAGTTGCTCTGCCAGGACTGGCATGAATCAAATCTTATCAAAATTTAATCGGATGGGTTCGCAGCTATGTAAACAGCTTGCGTTTTTGTTATGATGGCAAATATTTAAGCTTCCCTCTGATAAGATACATAAATTGTAAAAGCCTTTAAGGGTTTCCTCTTTCAGAAGTAACATACCAAAAATCGTTGAACGCTTTAACACTGTTCTTAGTATAAAAACATAAATGACAATGAATGGGTTGTGGCTTTGATTCTTCTAAGGAATGCCATAACTTTATTCTAAACATTAATTAATTGGGAAATTTTCCTAGCAGTGCAAAAAAGAGTGTTATATGTTCGTTGATAGACTTAATACCTACTCTTCTTCTGTTTAGCAAAGTAGCGAGACTAGCCGGCTGGCAGATGACAAAGTTCCCAGCTTGAGATAAAACGTATTCGAATGAACAATAAGTGGAAATGTATTTTCGTGTAGGTAATTTTTCGGTTCATTCATGGCCAGGATTCACTTCAATCGGCACAAAGGCACCGCAGGATGTCTCCTCTGAATGGAAATCGATGTTTCGGTTGTTTTTCGTTTCCGTTTCCTGTCCTGCGTCGCAACGAATGCGATTTAATTTCCATTGTCCCTTGCCAATCAATACAAAAGTCATTTCGAAAGTATCCAGCCAGCACAGTGCAGTGTGAGAGTTGGCTAAGTAGTAGACACTTAGCCGTGAAGTGTTCGGATTGCAGCCGTGGTGTTCAGCCAGGTGTTCACTTGACTCGGGACTCTTGATTCAGGTAGAAATTACAGTGTTAACCACTGAGACGGACCGGCCTTAATTCTAATTAATTAAGCTTCGGTAAACCCTTCAACAGTTTGGGCCTGACGAATTATTGAGTCGTGTTCTGATCAAACATCTCTCTATATATGTACGAGTATCTCTTTGCTCATGCCTAAAAATATCGACTTAGCTTTAAACCAAGATTAACCCAATAATGACTTTGGATCAACGACTCGAAACAAATGTAAAACAAAATACGACTAGCAGATACCCGTTACTCAGCTAGTGGAAGTGCAAACGAGAAATTTCAACATTTTCTGGAATATCGGTAGAAATTGGGGAAAATGTAATGAAATGAAAAAAACTTCAAAATTTTTTAAAAGTGTGGGCGTGAGAGTTTTGTTCGTCTTGTAGGCGTTATAGTGGGCGTGGCAACAAACTTGCACTGCGCCTGTCTCTGGAAGCTGCATGCTTAATCTCAACATTCAACCTTTCGTAGTTCCTGGGATCATCACATCAAAAAAAAATTACAAAAAAATTAAAAAAAAATAATTTTCTAAATTTGAATGCAACTTTTTAGAGAATTGCGTCAGAAACATTTAGAGGTATGCCACTTCAAAATCCGATTAAGATTAGTTGAGTTATGGAGCTTAGAACTTCAGATTTGGGACATTTTTAAATTTTTTTGAATTTCTACAAAGTCATACATCAGAAAAATTACAAAAAAATTAAAAAAAAATAAATTTCTAAATTTGAATGCAATTTTTTAGAGAATTGCGTCAGAAACATTTAGAGGTATGCCACTTCAAAATCCGATTAAGATTAGTGGAGTTATGGAGTATAGAACTTCAGCCTTGGGATATTTTTTGGACTTCTACAACATCACACAAAAAAAAATTACAAAAAAATTGAAAAAAAAATAATTTCTAAATTTGAATGCAACTTTTTAAAGAATTGCGTCAGAAACATTTAGAGGTATGCCACTTCAAAATCCGATTAAGATTAGTGGAGTTATGGAGCTTAGAACTTCAGCCTTGGGATATTTTTTGGACTTCTACAACATCACACATCAAAAAAATTACAAAAAAATTGAAAAAAAAAAATTTTCTAAATTTGAATGCAACTTTTTAGAGAATTGCGTCAGAAACATTTAGAGGTATGCCACTTCAAAATCCGATTAAGATTAGTTGAGTTATGGAGCTTAGAACTTCAGATTTGGGACATTTTTAAATTTTTTTGAATTTCTACAAAGTCATACATCAAAAAAATTACAAAAAATGTAAAAAAAATAAATTTCTAAATTTGAATGCAATTTTTTAGAGAATTGCGTCAGAAACATTTAGAGGTATGCCACTTCAAAATCCGATTAAGATTAGTGGAGTTATGGAGTATAGAACTTCAGCCTTGGGATATTTTTTGGACTTCTACAACATCACACATCAAAAAAATTACAAAAAAATTGAAAAAAAATTACAAAAAAATTGGAAAAAAAATTAATTTCTAAATTTGAATGCAACTTTTTAGAGAATTGCGTCAGAAAGATTTAGAGGTATGCCACTTCAAAATCCGATTAAGATTAGTGGAGTTATGGAGTATAGAACTTCAGCCTTGGGATATTTTTTGGACTTCTACAACATCACACATCAAAAAAATTACAAAAAAATTAAAAAAAAATAAATTTCTTAATTTGAATGCAACTTTTTAGAGAATTGCGTCAGAAACATTTAGAGGTATGCCACTTCAAAATCCGATTAAGATTAGTTGAGTTATGGAGTATAGAACTTCAGCCTTGGGATATTTTTTGGACTTCTACAACATCATACATCAGAAAAATTACAAAAAAATTTAAAAAAAATAAATTTCTAAATTTGAATGCAATTTTTTAGAGAATTGCGTCAGAATTATTTAGAGGTATGCCACTTCAAAATCCGATTAAGATTAGTGGAGTTATGGAGTATAGAACTTCAGCCTTGGGATATTTATTGGACTTCTACAACATCACACATCAAAAAAATTACAATAAAATTGAAAAAAAAAAAATTTCTAAATTTGAATGCAAATTTTTAGAGAATTGCGTCAGAAACATTTAGAGGTATGCCACTTCAAAATCCGATTAAGATTAGTGGAGTTATGGAGTATAGAACTTCAGCCTTGGGATATTTTTTGGACTTCTACAACATCACACAAAAAAAAATTACAAAAAAATTGAAAAAAAATTAATTTCTAAATTTGAATGCAACTTTTTAAAGAATTGCGTCAGAAACATTTAGAGGTATGCCACTTCAAAATCCGATTAAGATTAGTTGAGTTATGGAGCTTAGAACTTCAGCCTTGGGATATTTTTTGGACTTCTACAACATCACACAAAAAAAAATTACAAAAAAATTGAAAAAAAATTAATTTCTAAATTTGAATGCAACTTTTTAAAGAATTGCGTCAGAAACATTTAGAGGTATGCCACTTCAAAATCCGATTAAGATTAGTGGAGTTATGGAGCTTAGAACTTCAGCCTTGGGATATTTTTTGGACTTCTACAACATCACACATCAAAAAAATTACAAAAAAATTGAAAAAAAATTACAAAAAAATTGAAAAAAAAATTAATTTCTAAATTTGAATGCAACTTTTTAGAGAATTGCGTCAGAAAGATTTAGAGGTATGCCACTTCAAAATCCGATTAAGATTAGTGGAGTTATGGAGTATAGAACTTCAGCCTTGGGATATTTTTTGGACTTCTACAACATCACACATCAAAAAAATTACAAAAAAATTGAAAAAAAAAAATTTTCTAAATTTGAATGCAACTTTTTAGAGAATTGCGTCAGAAACATTTAGAGGTATGCCACTTCAAAATCCGATTAAGATTAGTGGAGTTATGGAGTATAGAACTTCAGCCTTGGGATATTTTTTGGACTTCTACAACATCACACATCAAAAAAATTACAAAAAAATTGAAAAAAAATTACAAAAAAATTGGAAAAAAAATTAATTTCTAAATTTGAATGCAACTTTTTAGAGAATTGCGTCAGAAAGATTTAGAGGTATGCCACTTCAAAATCCGATTAAGATTAGTGGAGTTATGGAGTATAGAACTTCAGCCTTGGGATATTTTTTGGACTTCTACAACATCACACATCAAAAAAATTACAAAAAAATTAAAAAAAAATAAATTTCTTAATTTGAATGCAACTTTTTAGAGAATTGCGTCAGAAACATTTAGAGGTATGCCACTTCAAAATCCGATTAAGATTAGTTGAGTTATGGAGTATAGAACTTCAGCCTTGGGATATTTTTTGGACTTCTACAACATCATACATCAGAAAAATTACAAAAAAATTTAAAAAAAATAAATTTCTAAATTTGAATGCAATTTTTTAGAGAATTGCGTCAGAATTATTTAGAGGTATGCCACTTCAAAATCCGATTAAGATTAGTGGAGTTATGGAGTATAGAACTTCAGCCTTGGGATATTTATTGGACTTCTACAACATCACACATCAAAAAAATTACAATAAAATTGAAAAAAAAAAAATTTCTAAATTTGAATGCAAATTTTTAGAGAATTGCGTCAGAAACATTTAGAGGTATGCCACTTCAAAATCCGATTAAGATTAGTGGAGTTATGGAGTATAGAACTTCAGCCTTGGGATATTTTTTGGACTTCTACAACATCACACAAAAAAAAATTACAAAAAAATTGAAAAAAAATTAATTTCTAAATTTGAATGCAACTTTTTAAAGAATTGCGTCAGAAACATTTAGAGGTATGCCACTTCAAAATCCGATTAAGATTAGTTGAGTTATGGAGCTTAGAACTTCAGCCTTGGGATATTTTTTGGACTTCTACAACATCACACAAAAAAAAATTACAAAAAAATTGAAAAAAAATTAATTTCTAAATTTGAATGCAACTTTTTAAAGAATTGCGTCAGAAACATTTAGAGGTATGCCACTTCAAAATCCGATTAAGATTAGTGGAGTTATGGAGCTTAGAACTTCAGCCTTGGGATATTTTTTGGACTTCTACAACATCACACATCAAAAAAATTACAAAAAAATTGAAAAAAAATTACAAAAAAATTGAAAAAAAAATTAATTTCTAAATTTGAATGCAACTTTTTAGAGAATTGCGTCAGAAAGATTTAGAGGTATGCCACTTCAAAATCCGATTAAGATTAGTGGAGTTATGGAGTATAGAACTTCAGCCTTGGGATATTTTTTGGACTTCTACAACATCACACATCAAAAAAATTACAAAAAAATTGAAAAAAAAAAATTTTCTAAATTTGAATGCAACTTTTTAGAGAATTGCGTCAGAAACATTTAGAGGTATGCCACTTCAAAATCCGATTAAGATTAGTTGAGTTATGGAGCTTAGAACTTCAGATTTGGGACATTTTTAAATTTTTTTGAATTTCTACAAAGTCATACATCAGAAAAATTACTAAAAAATTTAAAAAAAATAAATTTCTAAATTTGAATGCAACTTTTTAGAGAATTGCGTCAGAAACATTTAGAGGTATGCCACTTTAAAATCCGATTAAGATTAGTGGAGTTATGGAGCTTAGAACTTCAAATTTGGAGCATTGTATAATTTTTTTGAATTTCTACGCATCAGAAAAATTACAAAAAAAATGAATTCCTAAATTTGAATGCAGATTTTTAGAGAATTGCGCCAGAAACATACTTTTCAACGAATTTAGTATACTCTACCTTTTACTCTACGAGTAACGGGTATAATAAGTTAATTTTGTAGTTCGTTCTCAATGATGTTATAGTATCAGTTTCTGCGCCAAGTCTACAAGTCTCCAACTCATTCCAGCTTTTTGTAGCTGTCATCAACATGACAAAGCGGCTTTTGGCTCTCTGGACGAGTAATTTGGTTGGGAGGCTTTAGTCTTTTGGCCAAACAATATAAATGGTATGAAAAATGTGTTGGCATGTACATGTATGCATTTCATATGATTCTTTTTTGTTTTTATGCTCATAATGGATTGTCATGTTCCTTAAATATAAATATCATTCTTGCATTCAAGTATGTGTTTATATTAAATTTATTTCAGTCCATTTTCATGTTTGATTACGTGACACATTTACTGATTGCTACTCGTAAAAATGTGCCTGCCTGCCAACAAAAAACGAGCAGAAAAAAGCTTCGCAGGATTTAAAGGTGTTTACTGGTTGGCGAACTCTTAAAAGGATTAAGTTTGAAGCTGGCCGCAAACGTTAAAGAATAAATGCGAACAGCTACATTTAAACGTACTCAAATACTCATATCATACTCAAAAACCGGCCATAAAAGCGAACAAATTCTAGCCTACATATCATAAATTTTGGAAATGTTTGAAACTCAAGCAGTGAAGAAAGGGTTCGATCCTCTAACTGAAAGTATTCATAAATTTGTCAAACGAAGAGCTCTCAAGCAGAGAAAGGGCGTTTTAATAGCACGTAAGACAACACTTTTACCTATATAGAATTCCAGTTAAGGCCGAAATTCCACTCCACTTTTGTCGTGTAAATTAGGGCAGACGAACAAATCACCACGGGGACCACAGGTAGCTAACAACAGGTAAATGTCGGCCAAAAGCAAAAGAACTGACCAAATGGAAAACACTAAGTTAAGATACTGCGGCGCCACAGTATCGCATTTTACCGATTTCACCCATATTTGAGAATGTTGATATAGACTAATCTTTATGGCGAGCAGGCTGAGTTTTTCTCTAATATGTATTTTGTATTTATGTCCTTTGGCCTAAAAGTATTTAGAAATATAAATCGAACAAAATGCTGTAACTAAGATAATGTGGTAAATATTTTATTGCGGTTATCATATACTTTTAGTGACATATATTATATATTGTATAGATGCATACTTTTTTTCTTGAAGTAATTGCGTATAAAAAGCATGTAAAATAAAAGATACAAAAATAAAATAAAATGTCTAAAGACATTTATTACTGGCTGATGATCAGCTGCTGGCGGATTTTCTTCAGCTCATCCGGACTCATGACATCCGAGTTGAAGTTTGCGTTGCGAGTGTGTACCAACTGCCCACTCAAATCATTCACACTGTCCTGAACATTGTAGTCGTACACGGTTCTTAGCATGCCGCCAATCAATTTCCGGGATCTCGATCGCGAACTAGACTGAACGCTTATGTAGGGGGCAGCATCGCCGAATCGAAGGAGGCAAATGCAGGCTAAGGGATGAAAACCAAATCAGGAAAACTCTTCGGGTGGCGGAGATCCCTGCAAACTTACAGAAAATGCAGAGCAGCACGAAGTAGTTCATTGTGGAAACGTATTCTCTAGACTGTAAGGAATTCAATAGAGCTCTTGGCCTAAGCGGCTTGAATCGCATTTATTACGGTTGACAATCAAATTAAGTAAGTGCCATGACTCAAAACTATCGGCTATTCTCGTTTCTGTTTTTATATGTATCTAATTGAATTTGGAGGAATATCGGGAACCAAATGATTGGTCGCCATATTGACGATTTTCCAGATTGAAGAATTGATCGTGAGTCTTAGGTCGTTCATTAGTTTTACAAACATATTACGATAATTTTTCTTGATTTGCTCTTCTAGCAACTGTTTGTTGGTCAGGGATAGATCCTTGAGGTTCTTCTTTTTATCACACGGCTTCACTGACCTTCGGGCGTCTTGCAGCTCCAAATTCAATTCCAAAATCTTGCGGTTCGCATCATTGAGCCTGATCTCCAAATCGAGGTTTGCCTGTCGGTCCTTGAGAATTTCCGATTTTCTTTCATCTAGCTCCTTCATCAATGTTACGGAAATATTCCGGAATGTGGAAGAGCTGCTCTTCTCCAAAGCCAACTTCTGTTGCAGCACTCTGATCGTCTTTGGTACTAAATGTTTTCGTCTTAAGTCATTATTCGAGCTTTGTGGCTCATTAGTATCATCCGATATAAAATCGCTCTTGATAGAACCTTTACTCGAATCTGGCTGAGCTGGATCGTCTTTACGGGTTTTTTCATGTATCACGTCGTTCTTGGGAGGAACATTTGGCAAAGGGATGAAATCGAGCTTGGGAAAATGACTGGTAGATGAATCGTTTTGCTGGATTCCTATACAGTTGGCCACTGCAAAATGCAGCACTAAACAAAAAATACTTGTTTTTAAAAGTGGCTAAGATTGCATAGGCGAACTTACGTAAAATTCCGGAGCATAACAAAATCTGGTTCATTTCGAAGAAGTGGCTTCACCTGAAGTACCTAAGATATTATTGCATTGCTTATATATACGAATTCTGCGTTACATAAGCGCTTTTGCAACGGCTATTGTTTCGTTCTGCTTGAAACTATATTATATTAATCGGCTCTTGTAGTACGGAAACAACAACACTTACTTTTGTAATTCAACCTTTAAATTTAAATTCAACATCAATTTAAGTGGGTTCTCTAAACTGCTACGTACAAAGATATTCTTTGGATTTTCGGATTTCTTCATCGTCATAGACAACTTAAAGATTTAGATACAAAAGCAACAACCCTTTCTTCTTGGCATCTGGGGCTTTGGGGCTAGCACTAATTATATTGTTTCTGGTATTGGTATTAGTTGCTAACTAGCCATGTAAATACAACCGTGCATAACATAATTAATTATATAAAATCCAGCAATGTATCTGAGCTCATTGAAGTCACGCTACATTTGTTATCGAAGCAAACGGATTTCCCAAGCCAAATGAGGGGAAAAAAGCAGGGGACGATCATAAAAACCAACCATTGTCTTGGCCAACAGTGAAACCGCAATTCAAAAACTCAGCATTCGCAGTGCGGATAGAATGAAAGGAAATCATACTAAATTTCGCCCACATGTCGAGTATGTAAATGAAGGGTTGCGCCTGCGCACGCGTCAAATTGATAGCGAAATTGGACGTGGGATTCGGAAAACTGAGGCATGGCCATCTCGTGGGCGAGCGGCCACTGAGTGGATCTCGGCTTGGATGCCCCGTTTTTGGGTGGGTGGCCACGGCTAATTGTTGGAGACTTAACGACTTGTGCGCAAGTTGCTCGCATTTTGCGTGGTGTCTGCGGAACGCTGTTTAAATTGCCGCCGCTCCCCAAATGGTCAAAAGTCTTTAATGCCCCATAATCGTAGTCAAGATTGGTGTAGTATTGACAGTATACGGAAATTTACCTTAGATGGCAAACGGAACACAATATGCTTTACATAACTGCGCATTTAAAATTCAATTAAGTGAACAAAATTCATTAGCCAGTCTAAATGTATAAGCCAAGTATATTTACGTAAGCAAACAATATTCTAATGTGTATTCTATAAGTAAATTACTACAGAGCAGAGTGCGCAGCGAATTTGATTAGCGTAGCTGGTGAAACTCTATAAGAACTGAACTATAGGAACACATTAGCCCACTATGTGAAGTTAGTTAAGCAATTATCGCTATGCTTATTAGTGCCGTTAGATGATTTTCCTCGCAACTCTAAGATAGTCCTCTTTATTCCCAGTCACACCATCGCACACAAAACCGATGTCTATTTCTCATTTTGATTGCCGCATTATAATGACAGTGGCTCTGTGCATGCGACTCCCATTTGAAGCTCGCTTTTCACTGAAGTTTTCGGTTTCTATTTCCCATGGCAGCGCCTCAAACTCGTATGTATTTTCATCGCTTTTCAGCCGCGGAGCACACGCTTTCATTTGCGTTCGGAAAATGACCTACTTCCGGATTAGCATGCCCCGGCCACTTTTACTGTCGCTCGATCTGGAAAAGGGCGATGGATGGAGCACATGGGAGCCACGCCATCGAGGCCCATCGAGCAGGGCGACCAGGGACAGAAGCTAATGAGGTTGTCGCCGTTGTATCCACTTGATAATAAACATCCGCCGCGTTCTGCAGTGAGAGCTAGTGTGTTGCATGCTTGTTGCATTTAATTGTAATTTATTTTCCAGCCCACAGAATGGACACGGCAAAGAACGGAAGCAAATATTTTCCGGTGGAAGCTGGGCAGTTCCTGTCCTCCACCTTTCTGCCCTTTCCAGCTATCAGCGATGCATTAATTGCCTGTTCCAGCAGTCTAGTGTGCCAGTAATCAACCATGTTCCCCGTGTTTAACTCACACATATTATTAGCTAAGTATAGTATGAACGGGTGTCCTAACAACGTGTTCATCTCAAGTTGAGGCAGCTAAAGTGCCAGTGACATCGATTTGCTATGTGACTGCGTTCGTCGGCTTTTGCTTAAAGGGAAAAATACCAAACAAAGCCAATTGCAGTCCAGTGGATCGATCAGTGGTGGACCAGAATCAATGGACTCGGTGGAAGCCGGAGCGAATTGCTGGCTAATTTGGCGCGGCGCACGCGAAGAATGCGAAGGCATTGCCGACAAAAGGAAGCAGCCACTTCCTATCGAGTGGCGGGCAAAACACCTGAGCCTGGGGCTATCAGGTGACCCCACTGGTGACCCCACTGGTGACCCGGTCGACTGTTCACACCCAAGCTGCCATAATTGCCCGCAGCAGAAGCAGGCAGGTTAATTAGCCCGGATTTGGGGGTATCCTCACCACCGTGCGGCCACAAATCAAAGCGGAAATTGTTTATTAAACAAATCCACAGGCAGTTCTGATGGGCGGGGCAGCATCCATGGCGCGGATAATGGACTTTTAATTGACTTCTGCCAGTTTCGGCTGCCTGCGTGCTGAGGTCCTTTATGGTACGGAATTGGGAATCATATGACATAATAATAACCGGGTCTTCGCAGCTCCGGAAGCCTAACAAGCCAATGTGCCCAAATAAACAAGGGAGCTATATCGTATCGATAGAGACTTCAGTGATGATGGCGTAAGAGAAGTTGAATGATGGCGACAGGTAATGACAGTCACACTTTGAAAGTGGATCATTTGCATTTGTCAATTTGGTTGACACACATTTTATAATAGTCCGTAGCACAATTGAACAGCAATCCCCCAGTCAGCATTCCATTATAATCGATATCGTTACCACTCACTTTCATTTCAAAAGATACTGTGCGCTAAAAGGTTTTTAGGAACAAGCTAGCCGAGCGTTTCGTCACTAATCAAGTCATTGATACATTTATAACGCATTTGCAAGTTGTATTAGCTAAAATATATACAAACTACCTATCGTCTTTGATCTTTGTGTGCTAAGTTTAGATAAAACACAGGCAGAATCTCGCGTGGGAGATAGGAGCACCGTCATCATCATCACACCACTGGGGGCCATTAGGTGGGCGAGTGGTCATTGAGTGGGACGGAGTAGCTTATCATTTTCGCCCACAGTCTGTAATTGATGGAAATTTGCCATATTAAAAACAATCGCTCGCTGTCGTGTGATATCGAAACTGAATTCAACCGCAAAGGCTGGGCGAAAATCATTACAAGTTTCCCAGCCTATTCAAGCGAAAAACTTTCCTTTTCGAATGCAGCACTAATTCGCCTAATGGCCATCAGCAGCACCCACTATCATTACATCATCCCGCCTGGATCAAGCCATGAAGCCAACTTCCGCCCGCCACGCACTTGGTAACAATCGTGAGGAGGGAAAGTTATCCACGCCACATTACCATTGGCCAGCTCCATCCCAATGAGAGTGAGACTGGGTAATTCCAAAACGCCAAAACAATGACACATAAATCGCTGAAAAATCAAGCATAACATCAACATTTTCACATCTCCATCCAGACGGCGATACACCCACTGCCATACTCGTAGCACTCGTGCAATTTGTGTGATAAAGAGCAATCGCAATATTATTTGCTGGCATGTGGAAAGTTGCAAATTAGCCGGGCTATGGAAAACAGGCAACAAGTCGCTCGTGTTATTCAGTTACTCAGACTCACTGCCACTGCTGGGTAATGTGAGAAAAAGCGAAAATGTGCAGCGTTGACACAATTGCCAGTGCACGAGGCATCGCTGCATCCATATCCATGAGATACTTGAGCAGTTGCCAGCGATTGTCTGCCACAATGGCCCCCAGATCCCCAGATGATGCCGCCCAGAAAAAGCAGCCAAACTGGCTCAACTCCATTCGACACTCAGTGCAGTATCAGATTCGATTTCGCTGCATATTCCTCCACATACACGTTCAGATTGCACATTGTACAATTCGCTTATCTATATATTTATCACTACTTAGCCAAGCCTATGGGCTTGCACTTTCAGTTAGCACCGCCAACTGCCAGCCGCCTTAAAACTATTACACACTTTATTGATGTAGGTCATTGTCTTTCCAAGTAGCGCCATTAATTCTGTGCTTTTATGAAGACTTCGGCATTTGGCACACAAGTTGTGCATATGGAAAACCCATCTGCCAGCTTTATGGGCATAGTCAGAGGCATCCGCCACAAGCTTCCGATTTTTATTCGACTTACATAACGATGCCGAGCCAATATTTTGGGTAATTAATGGTAAGCGCGACAGGTTGGCGCGTGGCAGCATTTTCTTGGGCGCCCACACTCTGGCTTGTAAGTAAGTTGATTTGGTTTTTATGATTTGAGCTGTTTTCACGTCCTACTGCATTTTCGTGTGGCCTGGAAAAAAGAGCGTAGGCTGAAAACAAACAACCTAAGACCTCGACGGCCAAGCAGCGTAACAAATTCATTCACTAAACTCGACTGGAGCCATTTGGGCTTCATTGATAAAACGGCTTTTGAATGGAGCTTGCGGCTTCTAAATGGCAGACATTAAAGCTAAAATCATAGAGTAAGAGTAACGGGTATCTGATAGTCGAGCGTTCTTGTGCCATCACAACCAATTTCGGTGCGCTTCGTCACAAAGCGGACTCCCATCCACACTGATAGCATCATAAATAATCTTTCGAGTCGCCACGAAATAGACAATAATTCAAATTCTGTCCACGACTTTTTTGGAGCAAAACAAACTTCCCGAAGTCAACATCATCAATCATCGATGATTCAGCTGCGCACTACGCCTTGAATTCGATACATCAGCCAAGTGAGCAGCCAGTTGGTCACCAAATAAAGATTATTAGCTGCACTTTTTGTATAGCAATAACTGCATCAGACCGGTCCAGTATGGGTCTACCCTTTGAGCGGAAACCCCGTCAATAAGCCATGAAGTGCACTTAGCCCACTGAGCAGTGTACACTGTCCACCATTCACTGCTCACTGGCCACTGGCAAACAATAAAATCAGCTGTCGCTACTGAACTCCCGAGCTGACCAGACAAATTGAGCACCCAGCCCCCCAATGCTGCCCACTGTATTGCCCAATTGAAAACTCAGCAAGTTTTCAAAACAATTTCTGTGTGCCAGCGGCGGTGGAGCTGAGAGATCTGCGGAGGCTGGAGGAGAGTCGGGTAATCGGGCAGCTGATGAAGAGCCCTTCGTGGTCATATTGTGCCGGCCGGCGATTGTTTTGGCCCGATCGAAAAGCGCTGATTAAAGCAAGTCGAGCGGCTTTCCAGCGCCACATGCACTTACATTCTCGACTTTGTTGTCATCGCGGTGCGTTGCTCTGGGAATATAGGGTGTGATCGGGTATTGCCATCAGGCACTCGGAATGGATGATCCAAAAGGTAGGAAATTGCTAGAAGAAAGAGTCTAATCCTAGTGTTGTATATATACTTTTGATGCTGTAGCTAGATAGTTCAGCTGCATTTTGCATTTACTAACACGGGCATTTCAGCACTTTCCAACCCTACCCTCCCTGCAATGCAACACATTCGACACTGAAAGTTTGAAGAGTATCCCGAGTTCAGCTCGCAACTCGCATGTGCCAACCTGGAAAATTTGTTTGAATTTGGGTTAAGCGCTCCAACAATCGCCAAGTCATGCGTGGCAGCCAAAGAGTTGGCTTTGTTGGGTTTTCATGGCGGCTCGATGGTCGGGAAAACAACGCAGTTGCAGTTCATCTCCTCCAGATGAAGATACGTTCTAGCGGCCCACCGAGATTAATGACTCCAAGCCGGGCATTGCGATATACATGTACATGTTTGGAGCGGTTTTTGGAATTTTAATTTGATTTGTGGTTTGGTTTCGTTTTTATGGGCATATGTGGTACCCATTCATTATGCGTGAACTGTCGAGCTGCGTAACGCCCAGTCCAAAGTTAGATATGGGGGTTACTGGTAAAATATCAGCCTATATTAAATAATTATAGTGTCGAAACTCAGTCACTTTTGGTATGCGCTTGTCGGAGAAAACTTCTGGAGAGAACTTGACCTTCCAATGAAAAGTAATTCGGGGAAAGGCGTTTTAATAATGGGCTTTTCATTCACGCTGGCATTCAAATCATCTTGACCCGAACTCATCACTTGGCATTCATTAGGCGTTGGTTTCAATAAATCAGACATATTTAAGGAAATTAGACACTTGCCTTTACTTATTTCCCTAATTACATTGCTGCTATAAAACGTGATTAAAATATGGTTGCCAGTTGAACATTTATTTACTACCCAAAGGGAAGAGTTAAAAGCTAGTTTACTTTAACTTAATTTTAGACAAAAATTAAAGTTTGCCACCTTGTTGGATAATTGTTTTTGGCCAGATCGACTGCTTCACACCTCCAGATAGTTGAAATTAGCAACGCAAACTTATAGCTAGTTCTTGAGAAGTATAAACTTGGGTCTGGACCACTCCCCTTCCATTTCCCAAGAGCCATCTGCAAAATAGAGTCATGAGCAGTGCGAGCAACAAGAACGAGAAAAAGCTTCCAAGTTGCTTTGTGTTCGAGGCAGCGGAAATTATTATTAATTGCTTGGAATGCCTGCTGCCTCCTCCCAGAAACCGAGCTCCAAGCTATGTACATGCTCCCTGCTCCCTGCTCCATGGTCCGCGTTCTTGGCCAGCCTCTAATGGCTTCCGTTGGCGGGGCCAGAGTGTTTCTGCCCTCCGCTTTGATACGCAGCCTTCCAATCATTTCGATGACGTAAAAAGCCGCTCTGTGGCCAAAACTGGCCCGAGTTCTTGGCCCCGAAACCGAAAACTGAAAAAACAACAACCGATCTGAGCGTTGTCAGTACTGTGTGGGGTAAATGCGTTGGATTATTTGGATTACTTGGACTATGGTTACGTGGACGAGTCGAGTACGAGTGCGAGTGCCAGTTGGAGCACAGGGTACAGGGGGTTATTGGCCTTGGCCAGTCTGACGTCTGACAGTCGGCGTGGGTAAACAGTTGCGAGATTAGCGCTGTGCGGCCAAGCGTGCTCAGATGGTCGCCTTCTGCCAACAAATGCAACTGCAGCTCCGCTGCAAAGGCAATTGTGCCGCCCAGAAAGCAGAAAGGGGCAGATTTGCCCGCGAATCCAACTTCGACAACTCGCAGTGCTTTCCGCGGGCGGAATCAGCCAGCGTAAAGTTGAAAGTGGAGTGGAGCATTCAGCTGCACTGAGAACAATGGGGGTGGCTCAGCAGCCCGCCTAGAACAACATTCGTCACTATGCAACATTGTTAACTATGCAACATTGCCCAAAGCAGCTAGTTCTGCTGACTGATATTATGTTGTATATAAACCGTTCGAGCTGGACTTTTTTTAGAGTTCACGCAGGCGAGGAGTGGGTGTCTGGGAGCTCCTGACTATTGTGCTATCCACGGGGACGGGCCCTGAACAAGAGGAGCCAAACAACGACAGACCGGCAAAGAAGGTGAACGACTCTCCCTAATTGAGTTTGAATGGCGGAACGAAAATGTTGCAAAAAGGTGGAGGAAAAACGTTGCCGTTGCAGTGATTTCGCGCAGCAATTGTCGGATTTTTGAGGAACGCTTTTCCGCGGGGACTGACCCATGGAAAAAGCGGCCAACAATTGAACTTTGAAGCGGTTGAAAAGACTCGAGCAAAAGATACTGGGCATATAAAGCCTTTTGTAGGCGGCTTTGTGTGTTTATTACCTGGAAAATGTCGGTTGGATCTAAGTTTTCCACAGTTCTGGGAACTTGCTCCGTAAGCTTCCCTGAGACGAAAGCATCATATTCAATTAGAAAAGTTTTCCCTGGCATGCGAAAGATTGGAAAACTCTGCAAATGCACCAACAATCACAATGCTTTACAAAACCAAGTGGTTTAAGGTGAGCATGGGGGGCAGCGCACCCATTCTCTTGCACATAAAGTTACCAATTTCAGTGGAAATTATCAGCATGAGTTGGCCAAGACTGACCCAATTGCGACCCCGCCGTCCAGCGCTTTCATCACCGACTTATCACTGGCAGTTGGCAATCTGGCGAAAGTGTCTCAATTTCTGCGCCATGCCACATGGCATCGCAATCTGATCCACCACTGCCACCGTATCGAGCTCCAGATCCACACCAAAAAACGCAGCTGGCTTATCGATCGAGCTGCTTGCTCTTTGTGTTGCCCCAAAATTGTTTATTTACTTTGACACGTTCAGTTGGCTGCTGCGATTGCTGCCGTTGTTTCGGGTAAATCAAATAAAAATGGACCGCGTAGTTCCGTAAACGAGCCCCTTTCGGTTTCCTCGATCAGTTCCTAATTTGTTTATGGCAACAGTTGCCTCGATTGCCAGTCAGCGTTGACAGCACCCTGGATGATTAAGTCTGGCCAGACAGGGCGACATGTGTGGCAGCCGCCGCTCGTGGCAATTGGTGGCAGCATGCGGCGACATGGGTTAGACTGCCACACATTCCCACCCTAATGATTCTGACCCTGAACGAATCTGAAGTGGTTTCGGTCGCCTGCCCCTCGAAGACGCCAACACATCGATGCGGTAGCCTTCGCGCGTTTATTTATGTAATGGCACCAAATGAGTTATATGCACAAGTACGTCTTGGTGGGAGATGCATCCCTAACCCAGCTTGGTATAGATGGGGTATACTCACAAACAAAATGCGTTTTATTCGGATCTTACAATGGAATTTCAGATATTCTAGGCTAGCTACTTTTCATTTCATTCTGTAATGAATGTAGTAAGGCAATGAAAGGTTTTAACCAAAACTAGAAAAGAACTGTTGCTGTTCGTTTTGAAATTTTATAATTTATTTATGCACAACTTGTCGTGAAATACACTTTGAAATAAAAAAGGAATAGTTGGTTTAAAAGTAAAGTCAGAGGCTTGAAACTGTTACTCATAGGCTCTTTTGAATTTCATGCTTTTCATTAAGTATCTCAAAGATTGCCAGAGCCGTAAGCTGAAAATATCTAGATATTTCGATGCAATTTGTTACAAATGAAAAGGAAGAATTGTGGAGACGTTCGTCACCTAAAGACTCCAGATGACGGTCTCCCCGGCCATGTCCGTGTTGGTCCAGCCGAGGGCGCTAGCCACCAGCTGCTGCAGCTGGCGCAGAGGAACACCAATCTTCTCCAGATCGGCGGCCAGGGAGCGGTACTCCTTCAGCTGGCGCAGATCGCGCAGCAGCCGCCGGAACTCGGAGCCGCGGATGAGGCGGACGGCGCTCGAGAGTTCCGAGTCGGAGGAGTAGAGCCGCAGGTACATATCCCTGAGGGCGGCGCGGGGCAGGGCGTCCCGGAGATCCAGGAGGAGTCCGCGGACTCCGGGGCGGCGGCTGGGCAACTTACTGGTCGGCGGGTCGGAGATGTGGATGTCGAGGAACACGCGCACGAACTCCGCGTAGTAGGTGGGATCCAGCTGGAGCCGCCGGCAGACATAGTCATGGAGCAGCTGGTGCTGCTTGGTGGCCTTTAGCAGCTGCACTTGCGTCTTGAAGCCATCGCTGCGGAGCAACTTGATCAACTCCCGCACCTGGGTATCCTCGGCGGCATTTGCCAGGATGTTTTTCAGCTGGGAAGCGGGCAAAAGTGGGCGGGCCACGCGAATTAGGTTGGTTAGTCCACGCTCGGCACTGGTGGGGCACTCCTTGTTCTCCTTGGCCAGCAGGACCAGCTCCACCGTGTCCTTGGGTGCGGACTGCTCGGTCCTGGCTGTGCTGGCGACTGGCTTCTCGGCCACATCCCGCGCGATTCGTACATGCTCCTGCTCCTCCCACACGGGCAGCCAGTTGATCTTGTGGGCATCCATCTTAATCACATCAGCGCTCTCCGCGACTATGTCGGGCAGCTCTTGGGCCTCATCTGGAAAGCCATCTACAACGAACGTGGTGGTGCTATCAGGCAGCTCCTGGAAATACATATTACAGTATGGATGCAATTTTAACCAGAAACATTCTTTAACATAAATAAAACACTGTATGCGTGAGCACATTTATTTGTATGTACAACGATTGCACAAGAATCAGTCTCACCTGGGAGTCCTGGGGCTCCACCGCCGATTGTCCTGCGACCAAGAGCAGGCAGAAACTGAATGTGACCACCAATGGATGCATGATGAAATCAATGCGAAACTGTGCCTCCTTTCGTCGTGTTTCCTCCTTTTATAGCACGCCAAGCACTTTATCTGCTATTTACCCAATTCATATTTACTCGAAAAATTTCACAGGCAAATACTCGCATTCGGAGCAGAGAATCAACAAGAACACGGTACCCAAAATAAAAAGTGGAACGACCTTGTCGCTGGCTCATCAAAGAAAGCTCATCAATCTTTCATATTGTCGCACCATCATGGCCGAATTGCATCGTAAAACACAGTTTGCCGCGGAATAATCGGCGTTTTTTATTGCTAGGATTTGGGAGGAGCGCTCTTTTTATACGAGTTCCTTCCAGTTCGATTACAAGTTGTTGTGCACATCAGCATACCCTTTCACTCTGCAAGCAATGGGCATGCAAAAATCGCAATGCTCTTTCACTTACCTATGAATTTTATCTTTTAAATATGGTTAAATTTAATATCAACATCACCCATGCACATGAGCGATAAAGTGTGAATATTCAGGGCCATTGGGTAAGCGTTAGCCATCAATCTTATGGCCCGCTGAGATTTCACTAGGCCAGCCACCCAAACAAGTTAGTTGCCCCATAAAATCCCTTATATCCCATAAAAATCTTCACCAAAACACAATCAACTGAAATTTTATGTTAATCCCTAAATCCCCGGCAACCTGAAGCATCTTCTTGCCGATTGGGACTCGCTTAGCCCAGAATGAATATTCATGTCTTTCGGGAATGGAGGCCGGAATATCCTTAGCCACCGCCGGGGTTCTTGCCAATTTCGATACGCAAATGTTTCGCTCATTGTCAACAATAACAGCGCAGAGATGAAGAGATGAAGTGGAGGACTCTGAGGCGAAAAATAAAAGTTATTCGTTCCAGCCAAAAGGGGCAAGCCACGCCTAATGAGTCCCCTCTGACTGCTGTGCAAATGATCTTGGGGTTACGCTTTTAAATTTTCCGGAAAAGCCCCTCGAGCAGCAGATGCGCGGTCCTGGGCAAATTCGCGGTGATATGTACATTTGAAAAACCCATTTGAAATGTTCCAGGCTCCCAAACCTTTCATGGATTACCTTGGCCTTGGACATTAAACGGCTATAATTGTGCGGAATATGCTGATGGGTGTTAGAATGTGCTAGATACAAATGTGTAGATACAAATATGTAGTTAGATACAACGCTGCCCTCTTGATCCCTGAAGTCGCACAAAGCTAGGTCCTTTAAGCCCATAAAAATGATTTCATTCTGTTTCCCGAGTTTTCTTCAAGTGTGCAATCAATCTACGGAATATTATTTTACTGGGCCTTACCCCTTCTTGGTATCTGAGATATTGTTCCAATTTCCTGTCAGTTGCGGGGCGCCTATTTATATCTGAAGCCGAAAAATCCATTAGAATATTGCCGCAGACAAAGGTCTTCCCTCACAAACTGGCTCCACATTTCGCGTGGACGGGAAAGTGCGCAAAGTACCTGTCTGGGTGGGAAGATATAATACCGGAGGAGTGCCAATCCCAAACGCTTTCCCACATAAACAAGCATTAACTCCGGCTTGGCTTGTGTGGCCAGCGGGAAGGGTGGCAAATGTGGGAGCAGCGGGTGGATCCGGGCAGTCGGCAGTCACGCAAGGGGTCAGTGGGCGTGGCGGGGCAACGCCCAGAGGAAAACTAGTTTTGGGGGAGCGAGGCAGTTGGACATGGGGGCAACTGCCCCGATTGCAGACAGCTGGGTAAATATTTAGCACGACACGCCTTCTTCTTTTCACCCCTAATTGATTCAAAAACGACATTTTATCCGCATTAAAATGTGGAGACGGAGACACACTGAATTGGTTTCGTCGGCTAAAGGGAAATTAGATCAGAAGGACGTGTGCGGCATGTAATGGCCTCGCCAATCAATCCCAATAAACTTACAGCAGTCTCTGCCACAAATGAGTCAGCAAATTGCATCATTATCAACGCATGAGGTTCACCATCGGGCGTTCAATCAATATGCAAATAAATTTGTTGCCATATCCGACAGCTATCTGTTGATGCTGACAATTATAACAACTCAAAGTACAAACACAAATATTTATAACCCCTAGTCAGAGTCAACAAAGAATCTCGCACACAAGTGAATATTGGGCGAGACAAAAATTTGGAAATCAATGGCCCAAGAATACCCATTATTTGTCCAACTGCGAAAGCACTCATATAATATTATTTACAGCATCGAACTTAATTATGGGCACACAAGCACATAAAGTGCTAATTAAGTGCTTAATCAGATGTTAAGTTTATGAGATGAAATCAGTTTAGTTATATTAAACTGTTGTTTATTTTTTGCTTAGTATGCTGTGTAAGATGAAAAAGTCCCAATATCGTAGCATCGTAGGCGATATAAAACAGACTTTGTACTATATAATATCTATTAATCGAGAATGAACTTTTATGTGAATGAATATGGTATTTTATAACGTTTATATTACATACACAGCGGATCAAAAAATAGCTAAAAAAATCTACAATGCCCAATTTACTCTTCAACCGAAAAGAAACATAAGAACTGATATAGGATATCTATAAATATTTTATTTTATTGGACTCGTAATTACTTAAGATATCATATAAGCAGATTCCTTATCAGTGCAGTTGAATTTGAAATGTCTAGGCTTGACCGCCGATCACAATTCGAAATGCACCCCTGACGTCGGGCGCCAACGAACACTGGCTGCGGTGGTGGAAAATGTGAACAGCTGATTGCACTGGCGGCGCTACACAACACTGAGCAGAATAACGAAAAGAGAGTACAGACGAAAAGCTGGAGAAAATTTGTTTCACATTTTCATCCGTGAAACAAGATGTAAAGCGAGTGCATTTGGGGCCCAAAATAGTGAAAACTCACACGGGACACACAATGCTAGCGACGGATAGCAAAAGTAAGTGACGGCTGCACAAAATACGCCGGAAAAGTGCCTGTGAAAATTTTCAAATTCGACCTCTCCGCTTGTGGGTGAAAGGGACGGGGTGGCAGGCGGAGAGCCAGAACGAGAGTACGCGAGAGAGGAAGAAAAATCAATAAAATTGTCGTGAAGCGCGATTGACACGAGCAAAACAAAATGCGACACGAAAGAGAGCGCAAAGCGGACACCGAAAAAGCAACAACAGAGCGCCCGTTAGCTGCCCCAAATGCCGAATGTTGGCCGAAGAGAGAGGTCAGATAGCGGATACTCCAAAGGGAGTTGGAGTAAACAAATAAGTAAACAAGTGCGCAATAAGTAAACCAAGAACAGCTGTCCCCTCACAAAACGTAAATATGGTATAATAACCACTATCGCTGGTCGGTTGATCGCTCTGTCGGCGTACGAATCGAATTAAATCGAGTCGACGACAAAAGCAGAGACAACGTTCATTCACTCGCAAAAGTAAATACTCGCGCCGAATACAATGATCGCACTTCTCGCGTGATTCACCTCCAGCGGCCGCTAATTAAGGCGACGGCAGCAGAAATAGAATGGCTGCGAAAACAAGCAATACCGCGAGCTGCACTGTGCGGTGTTGTGATTTGGAAGCCACTCAATTGAAAGTGTTTGTGCTGGTGTCAGTGCTGTGCAAATAAATCGCCAGAATACCGCGCCGGTGGACGAAGATACAATATCTACAATAAGCACATTCTATGGCAGCATATGTTTAAATTCCAATGTGACGACGCGACACGTTTTGAATTGCAACCCGTATGAAGCGCAAAATACAGCAACACAATCGAAATGTATGCAGCGAAAAGTTGCAAAATACTGTGAAATACTTTTATACTCTTTATGCACTTATAAAGCAAATGAATCAGAAAAGTTGTCACAATTAATTATAGCAGCAGCAACAGATAGTTAAAGCCTTTGCAACAAATAGGTATTTCTCTAATTTAAGACTACTGAATTTCCCCCTTCCAGATTAAACGCACCGTAAGTCTACAAACACAAAGATGAACGTAATGCGAAAGCTGCGCGGAGCGGCGGGCGCAGGCAGCAGCGGCAGCAGCAGCGGCACCTCGACGGCGAACAACAGTTCACCCGGGGGCGGCAGCAGGAACGGCACGGATGTGGGTGCACCGACCGCCGCAAACGGACGGAGTGGGGAGGAGGCGCTGATGGACGCCCGCGCCCAGGTGAGCCTCAGCACGCTGAAGAAGCTCTTCAACGAGTACACGCATCCGCGGGAGCCGCTGAGCGAACAGGAGCGCGATGGCAAGCTCTACGAGATGCTGCCCCTCTTCTGCAAAGTGAGTGAATAGGTCGGTGGTGTGGTGGAATTGGCTACTAACTCCGCATTCTTACAGGTCTTCAGCAGCTGTCCGGCCAACGACATGAGCGAAAAGTTCTGGGATGTGGTGGCCTTCTGCCAGCAAGTGTCCCGTCTCATGGTCAGCGAAATCCGCAAGCGTGCCTCCAACCAGAGCACGGAGGCGGCGTCCATTGCCATCGTCAAGTTTCTCGAGGTGGAGACCACCGAGGAAACCAGCAGCGGATGGATGCTCCTGGCCACCCTCAATTTGTTGGCCAACGGAGACGTATCTCTCATACAGGTAGGTACTCCCTGACTCTTAAACCACATCACTACTTCTGGTCAAAAAGCATCGACGTTATGCAGAAATAGTAATTCACCGAAGTCAAAATTTCTATAGTTCCAATTTAATTTGAATATAACCGATTTAAAGTTTTCTAGATTTGCTCAGTTCCATGTTTAGAAGAAGATTCTATGTGCGAGCCCGTAGCTTCTCCAGTAGTTGTACTTGGGTTGGGTGCATTTTTAGCCTGTTGCTCCTTTTCTCCTGCATCGCTTGGCTTGCGAAGCAACTCAGCATTGCTCAAAGTTCTGATCTGAGAATAGCTGGAACCCTGTTCTACCAGCAGAATCTCCGACTTCTCCCTCTTCTCGGTTGTTTCCCACAAGGTAGATCGCCGGGTTAGCCTCCGATCCATTTGACTGGGTTTCACTGTGGCCTCGCTGTTCTGACTCGACCGAGTTGACACGAGGCTAGCAGTGCTTCTGTCCTCGATTTTGGCCCACAAGCTGGAGGAATCGCTGGAGCCGCGCCAGGCTGAAGCAGATCGGCGTGGCATATTAGGCTCCTCTTCCATGGACGCACTGTACTCCGTGACCACCGGTGAGCTATCCGGTTCACTGGTGGTTATTGTCGGCGTGGATAGAAAACTCTCGTCACTCTCAACCTGATGCAGCGAAAAGAACTTTCTACGCGCTTCCCCAATGAGCTGCCACATTCGGGCTACAAAGTGTGGCTGCTCCACCTCCGCGTTGGGCCGGAAGTACACGGTCTGAGAATTGGCCAACTTATAGTAGCAAAGAATATACTTGCAAAGAAAGTCGTCCACCGGCTTGGAGAGCACAAACATCCCGGTTGATCCAGTCTCCGTTCCCTCAAAGTACTTACGGCCAGTCGCCTGACGTTTCCAGTCCCCTGGTTCCATGCGCATCAGCAGGTCGAACACATGGAACATGTGCATCAGGTACATGGTGCCAGTAATTAGAGCAGCGATGCTCTTCTGTTTGCAGTGCGCGAAGTGCGGGTGCTCCAGGTACTCGATGGTGGAATTGATGGACGCCAGATGAGGGTCCAGCATGGCGGTGCGCATTATCAGCACGCCGCAGGAGTAGTGCGCCAGCACGGCACTCAGTGTGAGCAGAAGCTGGGAGGAGAGCACCGAACTCCTAGCTAGGATCAGCCGGAACGCACCTAGAGCGGCGAGCGCCGTGAATGACGAAAATGTTGCGCAGTACAGGATGACATGCGGAGTACGCTCTGGCCAGTAGGATGAGCCCCGTATGTGGAAAAACATACAAAGACTGCCCAGCACCACCTCGATGAGCTTGAAGAACACCCAAACCTGATTCATTTCACAGACTCACAAGGGGATTCTAGTTAGTTTTAGTTTTAGTTTTGGCAACTGATCAAAAAGGTTGTGCGTGAAAAGTAGAATATCAAAATACAATGTAAAAGTGGCAAGACAAGGTCTTATTTAACAAAAACCAACAATACCACAGAAGTTGAGCTATGAATATTTACCCAATATGTTATACATCGCCTTCCATTGCTCCATTCTAGGTTATGACTGCCGCGGCGGTTCCCTCTACTTTAGTGAAGTGCTTGTACTTGTTCTTCGACCTGCCCGTAGTTGAGGACGACGAACCTTCAGCTGACGGAGGAGCAGCAAGTGAATTTAATGCCCAGGAAAGGCGGACGCTTCTGCAGAAGGTGTTTGTGCAGCTGCTGGTCAAGCTGTGCTCGTATCCGTATCCCGCTGAGGAACTAGCCCGCATGGACGACTTGACGCTGCTGTTCTCGGCCATCACATCGCCATGTCCCATCCACAACATTGTGTGGCGCAAGAACGCTGCTGAAATCCTGACCACAATATCAAGGAATGGCCTAACCGATGCCGTCGTTAGCTATATACATTGTAAGCATGGCGAACGTAATCTAAACTAAACTAAAATATTTCTCAATCTAGCCAAGGGCTGCATGGCACTTTGCGTGGACAATATGCAACGCCTGACGTTTGGGAATCCCTTGGAGATCGTTGAAATGTTCGTCACGGTGTTCTGTTTTCTTAAGGACTCCAGTCAGGTATCCCAGATTTTGATGGATGATTTTCGCGCATCTCAGGGTTACGTGTTTCTCAGTGATTTTCTACTTAAGTAAGAACAATAGTTATGTTGTTAGGCACTTCTTAAGAAATATTTATGTTCAGGTTCGACAACAACCGTAGCCAATCATTGGAGATTCAAGCGGCCATTCGGAATCTGGTTCTGATGATCTCTTCGCTGTGCATGTGTGGCTTTTACGAGCTCCGACCGCCAGCCTCGCAGTTCAATACGGCTTTTAAGCTGCAGAACTTCCAACTCCCACAGGCCACATCCCGAGAGACATGCGTGCGAAATGTGTACGCCTTCCAGGTGCTGCAGAACGTGTTCCTTAAGTCAACGACTCCAGCGCTCTGCTGCACGATTCTGGACGCCATTTCGCGGGTATACCACTCGGAAAATGCCAACTACTTCATCCTAGAATCGGAGCAAACGCTCAGTTCGTTCGCAGAGCGAATCCACATGAAAAGCCCGCAAATACAGGAAAAATTCTACGATCTGCTGGAGTTCATTGTCTTTCAACTGAACTTCGTGCCCTGCAAGGAGCTGATCAGCCTTTCGCTCTTGCTCAAGCACAACCAGTCGACGTCCTGCAGCATTCTTTGCTTAAAGACACTGTTAAACATTCTTCGGCACAACACAGTATTTAAAGATGTCTACCGCGAAGTGGGCATTCTGGAGATCTTTGTTGGATGTCTTACACGCTATGCAGCTCATGTGCAGAAAATTACCAAAGGAGATGAGTCATTGGTGGTGGAGCTAGAGAGTGAAACGGAAGAGGAACTGTTCGATGCGCTAGGAAAGCATGTTCTGGAGGCCCTCACCATGCTACTAGGAGGTGGTGCCAGCAACAATGCCCAACTCTTTCGTGAGTACGGCGGCGCTAAGTGCGTCCATGAGTTGGTGAAGTTCAAGCATTGCCGACCGCAGGCTCTCGGAATCGTAAGGGAGCTGATTCTGTCCGCAGGTGGAGACGACGATATGCTCCACATACTCTCACTGATGCACAGCGTCAGCCCACTACAAGTGGAGTTTAAGATTCAGATACTGAACATGTTGCTCGGATGCCTGAAAGACTCTCATCGCACACGGACCGTCTTCCGCAAAGTGGGCGGATTCGTGTACGTCACCAGTGTATTCGTGTCTCTGGATGGCAGTATGGCCCTTCCCCAACCGGACATTCCACAACAGGATCTCATTCTGCTACTGCAAATAGTCTTCCAGACCCTAGCCACCGCTATGAGGTTTGAACCGGCCAACGCCAAGTTCTTTCACCAAGAGATTAGCAGCAGCTCTTTGTGCGACACACTTCGTCTGCTGGGATGCTTTGGGGGATCGTGTGCCTTGCAGGACTACACGGGCGCCTATGAGCCGCAGCAGTCGCTACTCAAGTATTATCATGAGATTTTCAGCGGAGATATTCTAAGCGTCAGGTAAGTTGTATGCCAAATGTACTCTTTGGATTATTTTCCTTAATAAGTAAATGTTGTTCATTTGCGCAGTTTCTCTGAAGACGTTCCATACCCGCTGTCCTACGTCTGCATCGTATTTCGGCTGCTATACAGTATAGCCCTGGACAATTTCGAGGCTCCAAATCTAAGCGGCATTATCACACTCTTCAGCGATCCGCCGACAGCTTTGCGATCGCCGAGTAAAGAGCTGGCGCCCCCCGTGCATCCCAGCCAGCTGAATCTCACGCAGCCCAGTCCCGAGCCTAGGATAGTGCACCCAGGTGTGGTTCTCTGCATGCTTCAGCTGCTCCCCGCCGTGGAGTACGACTCGGCTCCCCTACAGGCGGTGCAACTGCAAGTATACCTGAGCGAAATCATCAAGTCCTTGGTGCGAAGCGAACGCAACCAGCAGATAATGTGTGACCACGGTCTGGCAGAGAAACTGCTTAAGCTGACTCGAAGAGCCCTGGCGGAGGAGTCGCATCCGTTGCACGTGCCCATGCAGTACATTCTGGAGCGTCTTGCCGCACAGGCACTGCAACCAACCGAATTGCGCCAGTTCCTGCGGCTGGGCGAGCCGCTCTCGTGTGCGGATATAGATCTTCAGCAGCCATACAAGCTGGGCGGGCCCGTTCCGCTAACGCGTATCAAGACTCTGGTGTCCATGACTACGCCGCGTGACTTCCGAGCACACGGTTCGAGCACGCTCCCACCGTTCGTGGAGCTGGACATGTCTGCCGAGGGATTCGGTTGCTTGTACCTGCCTTCACTGGCGCCCCAGGCAACGGCCACCGCTGGCGGAACAATCGATGCAAACAGCATTGGGGGCATCGGTGCGGGCGATCGCATCTTTCCACCACAAACTGGACTTACGTACTCCACCTGGTTCTGTGTAGAAAAGTTCTCAGATCCTAAGACGGACCCCCACTGTGTTCGGCTTCTTACTTTGGTTAGGACCATCCACAATCCACGCGAGGAAAACCTAGCGTGCTTATCCATTTTGCTTTCCGCGCGCGACAAGGCGATCGTCGTCTCCACCCAGGAGACTTTGGTCACACCCAGAAAAAGTATGTATTATCACAGAAGTGTCTTTACTCTTGGCCTTCTGTTCGAGTTTCGATATAAGAAATGTAGGCACTCTCCCAATACGACCTTTGAAATGTAATGTCCATCTTTCTAGGTATCGGTGACTGGGAACCCGAGGGATCGGATGATGGCATCGCTCGCATATGGTGTCCGGATCTTTTGCACGAAGGCCAGTGGCATAACCTGGTCGTTGTGCTCAACCGTGCCGTACTGAAAAATTCCAGTTTGTTCCTCTACTTGGACGGGGTTCCAATGCATACGCAAAAGCTGCACTATATTGCCCAGCATCCCGCTGCGGGAAACGCCAGTCTGACGTCGCCCACCCAGATTTTTGGATATATCGGTACACCACCAATATGGCGGCGCTACTCACGTCTCTGTTGGAAGCAGGGCGTTTGCCACCTTATCGAGGATGTGCTTACCCAGCAGACGGTGCAGACAATATACCAATTGGGTCCCCACTACATGGGCTCGCTGCAAGCTCCGCAGCTTGGCAAGCAGTCGGAGTCATTGGCGCCTTTGGTGCCAGAGGATCGCGTTCTTCTGGGACTTAATGCTAAAGCGGTGTCCAAGCTGACACTAGTTAAAATCCGCAAAGTTTACAGCCGAGCGGACAACAAGAGCATTGCCAAGCAGCTGAACATGAACTCGCACGAGAATGCTACGCCCATCAAGTAAGTGCAACCTGAGATTGATCTACGCTAAAACGGTAGTGTCATATTTGTATGTTCTTTTAGAATTCTGCACAACTCTGCAGGACATCTTGCAGGAGCTGGACGTTCCCTTGGCGGCGTGGTCGTCGGTTATCTGGGCGTCAGAGTATTCAGTCCGCATCCCGTCTCAGCCATGATCGACACAGTTGGTGGCTGCAACGTGCTGCTCGGTATCATCGCCATGGCCCAAGACGTAGAGTCCTTATACGCAGGTGTCAAGGCTTTGACCTGCGTGGTGCGCAGCAATCGCGCCGCCCAGGCAGAGATGGATAGAAAACGATGCTACCAGACATTGGGCATGTTCTTCAAAAAGAAAAAGCATCTGCTAAACTCGCACATTCTGCACCTGACCTTTGGCCTAGTAGGCACGGTGAACAGCGGACAGGATATGTCGGCTATTCCAAATGTGACGGCCTTCCAAGATCTTTTGTGTGATCTTGAGATTTGGCATAATGCACCCAACGGATTGCTGCGCTCCCTATTAGAGCATCTACTGGAGTTAGTAGTGGAGTCTAGCGACAAGAAGCAGAACGTAAAGATCATGCGCGATCTTCAGCTTCTGGTGAAATTGCTGCACATCATCACTCAAATCCAAGACCACTCGACACGGGAGATCCTCTTCAGTCTGCTGGAGACCCTACTGGGCGGTCAGCCAAGGCACACCGATCTGCTGCTTTTCGGTCAGTATGTGGCGGCCAAGCTGCCACAGGCCCATTCTGGAGGCTTGGAACGTGCCGTGCTTCTACCCAGCATGAAAAATCCTGCCGAGGACCAGGATGGTGGCGTGGCCCAGAACATATACCTGCGTAATCGCTGCCTATCGCTGCTCCACGGACTGCTATTCACACCGCGAAACACCGTGAACTATGTCATCTGCGATGACATTTCCAAAACATTGGGCATGGATTGGTTGCTACTCTTCATGCAACCGCACGTCCACTTCACCACTGTAATCATTGCAGTGCGCATCCTGGTCGTAATCTGTGCCAACGAAAGTTTTCTTGTGCGCTTCCGGGATGCCACCCACAACGGCGGTTACCTGCGGTTTACGGAGATGGTCTCACAGCGAAAGATGCTGGGTCTCGGTGCCCAGCAGCTTAACCAGCGCCCGACGAATGGCACAGGTACAGTCATTGTAGCCACCCCACAGAACACCATACAGCATCTGCCCACACAGATTGCAGGAGAGGTTCGTGCAGCGGCCTTAAATATACCAGGTGGGAGCATAACTTAATACGAAGCAACATGCTAAATAAAAATATTATTTTTCATCCACTTGTTAGGTTTTCAGCTTCTTGAATGGCTAATGAATCACCACCTGGACGTTCCGGAGCTGTACTTCCTAATTACCGCACTGATTATGGGGCAGCCTGTAAAGGTGTTGGCTACTGAGCACACAAAGTTCGACCTTGACCGCGTCTGGTCATTCCTCTGGGGAGCTCCGGTCTCCGCCAACACGCAGCTGCCGAAGCTCAACATTTGTCCCGAGGGCGTGTGCGTACTCCTGGCAATGGTGCGCGGAATCGTTCATGGCGGGGAGTGCGCTCCATGGCTGCACAGCCACCCGGAGACAATTATCCAGCTGCTATTTAGCCTGTACCAAAACCTCACCGACTTTGCGCCTGTGATGATGACGGGCGATGTGGTGACCTCGCTAGTAGCTGTGCTGTTTCCCTTGGCATCTCGACCTGCCTACTCTGAGCCAAACAGTGGAGCATCGACACCCACAGACGATACAGGAAGCAGCTTTGCTTTGCCGCCGCCGGAGACGCTTCATGGAGCTACGCAGCCCAAGCTAACCGCTCATCCGGTGTGTAACTGCATTATCGACTTCCTGCGCGTTATCGTGGTGGACTCTCTCGGCTTGAACATGCAGGGTAAACCTACTCCGGTCATCGATCTCGTCCTGGACGCAGCACCAGAATCTGCAGAGTTACCACTGCAGGTGCAGTATCAGACTCAGATAATAATCGCCCTAATGGATCACCTGCTGGCCGCCGATGTGCTTGTTGGCGAACAGGCAGCACTCCCGCTGGTGCCTCTCTTGCAGAGCCAAATGCAATACATCGCTCCAAACGTGTTTTACCTAACCGCCCGCATCGTGGACAAGCTGTGGCAAGGATGCCTCGCCCGCAATCCACACGACATTTTCGATTTTGTTATCAAGCTGATCGTACAGGCCAAGCGAAGGTCCTCGTCGTTGTCATTGGAGCACCTGCACCACTCGCTGAATCGAAGCATTCTCTTCCTGCTCTCCCGCCCCACCGATGACTCGCGAGCTGACCAGATGAGCGTGCTGGAGGCGCTGCACAAGATCATTCAGCACCGCCTGCTCATTTTCGGAGCGGGCAACCACGAACTGGAATTCATTGGATGCCTCACATACTGCTTGCTGCAGTTGACTGCCGATATGAAAATTATTTTGGAACCGGCCACCAGTCGCAACACCACATGGCACGTAAATCCGCAGACGGAGACGGCAGAGCCCAAGGACGAAGATCTCAACCAGCTACAGGGCAGGAATCTGATCGTTGGCGCTGCTTTTCGTGTTTGGGAGGAGCTCTACGTATGCAAGAAGCCTGCCATTGAGGAGGTATTTAAAGTCTCCCTAACATCCCCACCGCCGAACTCCAAAGCACCTGATCTGCAGACCACGCGAGAGCAGGTAATGGAGCTGGCCTCCAAACTATGGTTCAATTATGTGGAGGCGGAACGTAAGGCCACCTATCGTGCGCCCTGGGAGCTGCACACCCAGATCCAGTCGAAAATCCAGAAGGTTACTGGTGGCCTATCCCGCTTGACCAGCAGAACTAAAACAAAGAAAGAGGAGCTGGTACGCACCAGGTCGACCTTAACTCGCGAGGCCGCCTATGAGTCCACTGGCATCCATGTGCAGCTCATAAAGGATCTTTTGGATTTGCGTGCGAAGCAGTACCAGCAGATGTTGCAGCACACCCAGCGCTACGTCTATCAGGACTGGGTGCAGTCGGAGATGGAGCTTACCCGGGAGCGAGGGCTATGGGGTCCCACTGGCAGCTGCTCACTGGATAAGTGGATTTTGGACACCACCGAAGGACCCCACCGTATGCGCAAGAAAACGATGCGCAATGATGTCTTCTACCTGCACTATCCATACAGACCGGAGTTGGAGCTGGCGGACAATCGGCAGCTGAAGTACAAGGTGGCCTCCAGTCTGGACAGCAAAACGTACGCGCTGCACGGACCGCAGCAGCCACGCATACTGGCCGAGGCGGCGGAGCACCATGCGATGCAACAGCAGAGTTCCCTAGAAGCAGTACACTCGCATCGTTTGGAGACCAGCAGTTCGACATCAACGCCACCACCCCTGGTTTTGCCGAAGCTTGTGGGACACGGATCAACACCCTGTCCACAGGAGTCCGTGGATGGCAATGCACCGGAGGATGACGAGGAAGAGGAGGATACTTCGATGACCAGCGATAATGAGACCTTTTTGCGCCTACTGGAGGAGCAGGAGAAGATTAGCTTTATGTTCCGTTGTGCAAGAGTCCAAGGCTTGGATACCTTCGAAGGACTTTTGTTGTTCGGCAAGGAGCATTGTTACATTGTGGATGGCTTTACGCTGCTAAAGAACCGTGAAATTCGTGACATTGACACCCTGCCGCCAGGAGCGTATGAGCCAATTATTCCCAACTCGGGTGGAACCTCTTCCACAACTTCTCGTGCAGTAAGCCACAAGCTCCGTCAGTGCTCCAAGTTCGCTTACGAAGAGATCCGGGAGGTGCACAAGCGTCGCTACTTGCTTCAGCCTATCGCTCTAGAAGTATTCTCCGAGGACGGACGGAACTATCTTCTCAGCTTTCCGCGCAAGGTGCGCAACAAGGTTAACCAGCGGTTTCTGGCTCTTGCCACTGCCCTGAACGACAACGCCCAGCAATCCGTGGCGGGACAGAAGCGCACGGCTAGCGTGGAGCAAACAGCTGGCATCTTTAGCGGACTCATTGGCGAGACTTCGGTGACCCAGCGATGGGTGCGCGGCGAGATCTCCAACTTCCAGTACCTTATGCACCTGAACACCCTGGCCGGACGCAGCTACAACGACCTGATGCAGTACCCCGTCTTTCCCTGGATCCTAGCCGACTACGATTCCGAGGAGTTGGATCTGACGAACCCAAAAACATTCCGCGACTTTTCGCGCCCAATGGGCGCCCAGGCCGAGGAACGCCTGGAGCAGTTTCAGAAGCGCTTCAAAGAGTGGGACGATCCGCATGGCGAGACACCGCCGTACCACTATGGCACGCATTACAGTTCCGCGATGATCGTGTGCTCGTATCTGGTGCGACTAGAGCCTTTTTCGCAGCCATTCCTCAAGCTGCAGGGCGGACACTTTGATCTTGCGGACCGCATGTTCCACAGCATAAAGGAGGCGTGGCTATCTGCCTCTAAGCTGAACATGGCCGACGTCAAAGAACTCATCCCGGAGTTCTTCTACCTGCCCGAGTTTCTCAGCAACTTCAACAGCTTCGATCTGGGTACCAAGCAAAATGGCGAGACACTCAACCACGTTATCCTGCCACCTTGGGCCAAGCACGATCCCAGAGAGTTCATCCGGCTCCACAGAAGTGCTCTGGAATGCGACTATGTCAGCCAGCATTTACATTTGGTAAGCTACATGGATACTAATCAGTTAGCGGAGGCCTTTAACAATATGCATTTCAGTGGATTGACTTAATCTTTGGCTGCAAGCAACAGGGACCAGCCGCCGTTGACGCAGTTAATGTGTTCCACCATCTCTTCTACGAGGGAAACGTGGACATCTACAAGTAAACTCACAACCTTCACTGTTTGTTTGCAGAAAATGTAGCTATATTTGTGTTGCTATTTTACAGCATTGACGATCCACTCAAGAAGAATGCCACAATTGGTTTCATAAACAACTTCGGCCAGATACCCAAGCAGCTGTTCAAAAAGGCGCATCCTGCTAAAAAGATGGGCGGCTCTCGTCACTCTGCGCTTATAGATCCTACATCTCTGATTCAGGGTAATAGCACAGTGCTGCAAACCGACCGCCTGTTCTTTCACAACTTGGACAACCTCAAGCCCAGTCTGCAGCCCATCAAAGAGCTGAAAGGACCAGTCGGTCAGATCTTGCAGCCAGACAAGACGGTGTTTGCTGTGGAGCAAAACAAGGTAATGATGCCGCCTTCCTACACGAAATACATAGCCTGGGGCTTTGCCGATCACTCGCTCCGCGTGGGACTCTACGACACGGACCGGGCATCCTTCGTGTCCGAGGCATCGGCACAGAACTCGGGAGAGATCCTGACTTGCGCCTGCCCAAATGCCAAGATGATTGTTACGGCTGGCACCAGTTCCGTGGTGACGATTTGGAAGTTCGACGCGAACCGCAAGAGCCTTGCCGTTAAGCACTCGTTGCACGGACACACCGATGCAGTGACTTGTCTGGCGGCCAGTGCTGCCTACAATGTCATCGTGTCCGGATCGCGGGATGGCACAGCCATCGTCTGGGACATGACACGGTTCACATTCGTTCGCCAGTTGCGGGGTCATGCTGGTGTGGTGGCTGCCGTTTCCATTAATGAGCTGACCGGGGACATTGCCACCTGCTCGGCCACCTGGCTCCACGTGTGGTCCATCAATGGCGATGCCCTAGCTATGGTCAACACTTGTGTGGGCAGTGCGGACCGCATGCAGCAGATCCTTTGTGTGGCCTTCTCTCAGATCCGGGAGTGGGACCAGCAGAATGTCATCATAACTGGCTCAACCGACGGGGTAGTCAGGGTGAGTACACACATAGTTACCAATAAATGGAATAAATCAAAGGGATATTTACACGCAGATGTGGTCTCTGGAGCACACACAAGTGCCAATCGATCGAAAATTGAAGCGAGGTACGGAGGTAACTTCGCAGGACAAACCTGACTCCGCTTCCTTGGAAGACAAGGACCATAAGGACGACAAAATGAGCCTCATGAAGCAAATTAAAAGCCTTTCCCAGTCGGAGGAAGAAATGGGTGAGTTATTTGAATTTGTCGACCTTAGCTTCCAGTATCTAAAAATGTTATTATATATGCAATATTTCTTCATCCGCAGAGATCGTCAAATCCGCCTCGGAAAGTAGCATTTCGGAGGCATCACAACATAGCCATGGGTCGAGTAAGTCGGCTGAGACAGGTCCCAAGGCTGAGCTGCAGGGTGAGCGCAGGAAAAGTTCCATTTCTGGAGCAAAGTCCCTGCACGAAATGAAGTCTGCCACCGTAGAAGGTCAGAGCGGCAGCTACGACCCCAAATCCAATGAAGGTATGAATGCTCGTGTGTTCGAATGCCTTAACTAAGTTCTTACGATTTTCCAGATGAACATTCTATAAGGCCGAGCAAATCGGACACAAGCCTCACTGACGGTTTCGTTTTAATAGACAATGACACCCACAGAGGCGATCAGATTCTTAGAAAAGGTACGCTTAAAGTTTAGACTGTGCGTGTGCAAATGCTTACTAATATTTTGATTTATTTCTATACATTTAGGCTTCAGATGGCAACGTCAATTAATGTTCCGATCAAAGCTAACCATGCATACGGCATACGATCGCAAGGACAATGCTGAGCCAGCCAGCATTACGGCATTAACAGTGTCGAAGGACCATAAAATTTTATATGTCGGTAAGTGCCGCACAACAAGGATATAGGAAAACAGGGAATTTATTCAAATATTTCACTACTTTCAAGGCGATGCACGCGGGCGCATCTTCTCATGGAGCGTTACGGAACAACCCGGTCGCGGAGTGGCTGATCACTGGCTGAAAGATGAGGGTGCGGATCAGTGCGTCAAATGCCACGTCAAGTGAGTTGCTGAAAATAAAACTCTATCTTCAGTTCATTACTTTAATTAATTAATCAATTAATTTCAGATTTACACTCTATGAGAGAAAGCATCATTGTCGCAACTGCGGCCAAGTTTTCTGCAACAAATGCAGTCGCTTCGAGTCGGAAATATCACGTCTTCGAATCCTGAATCCGGTTAGGGTGTGCCAGGCGTGCTACAGTCAACTGCGCACGAGCTCGTTGGACAATTAGAAAATTATGTGGCATGCAGACACAAGTAACCAATCGAAAGCTATCCATAATAATGTGTTTATTTGTTAATGTTAGTTAGGTTTAAAGCTTTTATTTATTCTTTCGAACCAATCTTTTATCCAAATCAAGTTTATTTAACTTCTACCAAAGGCTGTTATATGATTTTACACTTATTTTACTTAGTTTAAATCGAATTTTTTATGTACACAATCAAAGTTACAATATAATTTATATATTTATTATATAACTATTTATTAAAAACCGCGTTACCATAACCGTAATAAATGTTGCTTATACATACATCGCAAGCATTGACAATTAATAGTTATGTAACGCAGATGTAAAATTCTTTAAATATTAACTAATTAGTGACTTTCGAAGCATGTATGACCGACCAGACTACAAAAGTGGCCAGCGCACAAACTCAAATGTCCCCTTGAAGCTTGATGATACACAGATAGGCGCCAGAGCACAGCAGCTAAATCAATAAAACACAAACTAAGCACCGCCAGTTATATCAATTAAATAGTTAACTCAAATACTTCTCTAGCAAATAAAACCAAACACATCACGAAGGATATCCCCGCACCTTTTGCGGGAACAGAACACGTTTTAGCACACAACAATACAACCTCACACTAAACTAATGGCAAGTAGGATTTCTCAGCATTACTTTTAAAGAGCATAGAAGTAAAAGCAATTCAAAAATGTATTAGGTGGGTCACGACTTCTAAGAGCAATATTTTCCTATTGCACTTAAAATAACACGAACTACACAAGGAACAATGGAAAAGTTAATGTATAGAAATGAAATGTGAATGTGCTGTTTTCTGAAACAAATTTCCCAACCATTCAATTCCTTCCATCGATTACCACACGAACACCCAAATATTGAAATACTGAAATATTGTAAATATAAAGGTCACATAACAATGAAAGACACTTAACTATAAGATAAAGAAATTAGATAAATATATATCGGTAGCGATTGTAGAAAAACATTCCGTATTTTGTAGAGAATCTACATGTTGCATTGATAATAATTTACAAATATAACATATGGGTGGCTGTTAATATGTAAATGAATGTTGTGGCAGGAGCAACAAATGCAATTCCATTCTCCCCAGTCTGTTAACTCAATTGCCGAACTCTATCCAAAGAATACGAAGCACCAAAGCCAGAGCAAACGTATCTCTAAATCCCCATACAAATTATACAGCTCAAAGTTTTCAAATGTGTTATACGAGTATCTCAAAACGGAAGGGAAAGTGTTAAGTAATCAATACCTAGCCAGTTAGTGCAATACGAAGAACACCACAACAACCACGGGCAACTGTCCTAGCATAACAACCTACATAAATAACTATACAGAATCGTAAACATAAAAATATATATTTATTGTTAGTGTGTGAGATAGAAAGCATACATATTACGGCATGCGAAGTTTGAAAAATACAATTTAATAAAATGAGCTATGTTAACACACCATGAAGCATTTTTATTTAACATACACCTCATACTGAACGTAAGAGATAGTTACCGAATGTTTCTAAAGGAAAACCATTTTCTATCCCCATCAGCACATTTCCTCCAAAGACTAATACACACCCTTCCACTTTGATGTGTTGTTTTAATTTTGTTGCTCGTCAGCGATGATGGAAATATGCAAGTGTGCGAGTGTCCGAGTTCCCCAGCGGATCTACTTCCTCTCGATTCGGATGGAATATGGTGTTCAGCTAATCTGGTTCTGGTGTGCAGCTATTCGGGTAAGATGAGCGTGGAAGTCCATTCGATGGCGTTCAATCTACGCGGCTGGGAAGCGCCAACTCTTTGGTGCTAGCGTCCACCATACTGCCAGTCCGGATTACAGCGCGACTTTCCGGCCGGACAACGTCCGCCGGCACAACAGTTGCCGCCAGGACAACCCGGCTGGCTGCGACCTCGCGCGCCGCCGCCCGCCTCCATTCGGGGGCATTGGCCACCGGGGCAGTTGCCGCATGATCCGCAGTTGCCGCTTCTCGCACTCGGCGCGCAGTAGCCGCCGTTGTTGCAGCTGCAACCGTTGTTGTTGCTGTTACAGTAGAAGCCGTCCATGCTTACTGAAATCCTGTTAAAAGTTTTAGCAGAGTATTATTATTGCTATTTTTCCGCATACCTGACACTTTTGTATGGAATTCAGCCTTTAAATTTCTATAAAAAAAATTGGTGTTTTTTTTTTATGTTTTTTGGATGGACTTCCGATTTGTTTGAAAGGCCCGAATGGAATGAACAACTGGCAGCAGCAAACTCGACAGGCAGGGAAATAGAATCCCCAAGCCTCCTGTGTCTTTCGAACTCCAGTTCGAAACGAGCAGGCGCAGGCGCTGCTTTTCCGGAAAGTGGTGAGTTTTCCTTGCCACGGGGCGTGGCCTAGCCGCACACGCACACGCACACATGCACCAGGCTGCACACGGCAGCAACCAGGACGAGTCGGGGTTGTTGGAGCGAAAGAGAGCACAACTGCTGATGGGGTGGGGGGCATAGAAAAATGCGACTTCTTGATGCCGCAAATTTGCCATGTGTGCGGCGAGGGACGGGCGGCGGAGCGGTGGTGGCAGGCAGTGGGCGGCTGGGTGTTGGGCGATGGGTGGTTGAGTTACGACCGACGGCGACGCTCACGTCGTTGCTGCAAATGACTTTGCGTTCTGACTGGTTAATATAACCGCAGGATCGCACTCGGGGAGGAGGAATAGCTCTGCGTTGGGTGCTGCCTTATATACGACCGGTGGGCCGGCCCCTGGGAGCAGAGTCAGCCAAATGGGCTGTGTAATGGACACGGGGCTTATCCTGAGACCCACGCCGAAACGACTTACAAGACTCCACCCTCTAAGCCGAGCGTGTCATGTGCCAGAACGTCTTGCTGCGCGGTCCACCCACATGGGTGAGCTGGGAGCACACCCCCGCGCTCACACTGTCGCAAAAGTCACTTCAATTTGGATGAGAGTCAGTAAATCAACCCCTATCAACATACCAGCAACCGACCGAGCTGCGATTGCGATTCCGATTCCGATAGCCATAGTTACTCCGACCATCAGTGCCGGCTGGGCAGACGCCATTGTGGAATCGCCCAAAAACATTACCACGCACACCGAACCATGTGCAGAATAGATGCCTGAGCACTATATATCCTTTCCACACATCGAATGCTGCCAGGCTACATGGATCCTTCCTATCTGCTTTCGATAGCCTGTAATAGTCTGTGCAGCAGTAAATAGTAAACTATTGCAACATTTCCATGGTCTATAAGTCACCAAATCGAGCAATACTCTATCATTAAATTGGAATCATTACTTCTAATTCAAGATGCATGCAAAACATTAGTGATGATGATTTCTGATACCTGAAACCAAAGATATTCAAAGTAAATAAATGTCCTTTCTTGCTGAGCATATATATGTGCTATTCTGTGTTACACTGTTTTAATAGATCTTCGAACTCATAAATATAAGCTAATTTGCACCAATTCCGGCTACACATCCTCAATCGAAGTAATCTGCAGGCCATCGCTCCGTTGATCAAATGGCTCCTTTGGTTAAATGTACCCCAACTGTGGCGCCCTTTCAGCCGAAGAGGTCCTGACTTTAGAACTAATAATCCGACAGCCTACAAGCGCCGGATTGCGCCAAGCAAAGAGCAAAAAGTGTGGAAAAAAGCGAGAGGAAGCCAGGAGAGCTGAGCATCTCTGCCGACGAAGGATGCTTGGCAAGCACAGGAGCAGGACATCCGAGGGCAGGCTGTGGGAGCAGGACGGCGGCAGCACATACATACCAATACAATGTCGCAGTCGTTCCACGGCTAGCTTTTCGTCATTCTTGACATTTTGTGGTGAATTGTCGAAAGCCACAGGATATGTGCGCCAGTGTGCGTGCCGAGCGCCACTGCGCTTGTGTGCGTGTGCAGCTGGTTGGGCGGCCAGTGTGTTGGTGAGCGTGTTGGTGTGTGCGTGTTGGTGAGTGGGAAAAAACAAAAATGGTGGACGGCAGGAAGTCCCCTCATTTGCTGTAATCGCATCAGGCCGGGGCACTGAAAAAAGGGCGTTTTCCGGTTGGTTACCCGGCACTCCTCGCTCTCCTCCCTCGGCGCTCTCTTTCGCACTCTCTTCGAGGACATCACATCGACATGGGAGAGTGTGTGGGTGGGTGGGCGTATGGGTGGCTGGGTGGCTGGGCTGGTCGGTCGCATTTGGTCCACTATCAGGGGATGAAATGTAACATTTGGTAGCTTTTCGTAAATTTTCGACTTTCGTTTGGTCTCCTTTTTTCTTTTATTTTGTTTTTGTTCTGTTTGTTTTTGTTCGTTTTTGGGTTCTCGGCTCTCGACTCTCGACTCACGATTCTCGGCGCTCGCCGCTTTTCAGTTTCCCAACTCAACTGGGTTTTTCGCTTTTCCGTTTGTGGCTTTGCTGGGGGAAGTGGCTGGGTGTGGGATTGCGGGTGGGGGTGGCTACTGCCTTTGGCTTGGCTCGCCCTCCTGTCAAATTGACTGCAAAAAAGGACCTCTCCTTGGCAGCTTCACTTTCGTAATTGGCGGTCTGTTCGCTGCTGGCTCTGCCAGCCTTAGCTTCCCGTTTCATTCGCAGTTGGTCCGTCAGCACAGGCGATCCGCATTTGCGTCCGCAGCAGGATTCCGATTTCAGAACTCTGATACCAGCGGCAGCGAATCGCGTCGGTATCTGAACATCTCAAAAGATTCTTAGATTGCAAGTGACATTGTGCGGCGGTGATACTAAAATTGCTAACAAATCGCCATTTAGTCGAGCACTATTCCCAATTCAAATTTAAAGTGCGCAGTGCGGTGCATAAATCGAAGCAAACTGGATACGTTAGGGTTCAAATACTTCCACCAACGGAAAATGGGCACAGGTACGAAATGCGTCGGAATTTTCCATTAACCTCTAGTGGGGATACCGTCGGCAATTGAAACTATGTTTTCACACAATTCATTTATGGGTATCCACCTAAGTAAACTGGATATCCTCAAGCTAAAGTGATGGTCTACAGTTTTTCACATATTTTTCAACAAATAGTTGTATTACCTGTAATAGTATAATTTTAATAGAAATTTTAATAAAGCCATAGTGAATCTCACAAGACGAAAACGGTACGTGTATAATCACAAAGTAGTTATAGTTATAACTAGTTAGTTAGTTATAGTTCTAATTTATAAAAAGTATCAAACTCAGAGAGGTGAACGACATCCAGAGGTCACATAACAATCTTAGATATGTATATAGAAGAAGTGGAGGAAAATTAAATTAGTAATTGCTCACGTTTTTTCAACCTGCATTTGTGAAAAAATTTCGCTATTTTCCGTACTAAAATAAATTGTTCAGTTTCTGACTGTCCTAAACATTTGTGGTTGTGTATAAATTCATGACAGGATCATAAGGCAAGACTATACGAGTATACTCATATATATCAGTCTGTATAAATAAATTTGGGAGCTACTTTTAAAGATTTCTGATAGGAAACCAAATGTTTCGTGCTTAAAAATGGCATAGTTACGCACTACATTAAATGAAAACATTAAATTATAAATGAAAACATATTTTTAAAGAAAACATATTAGAAACATAGTTCAAACATCCTGATTTTTTGTAACAGACATTTAAAATATTACCCCAATTGTATAAACGATCACAAGATCAATAGATGCAATTTAAGGACATAAAAAGTAACAAATTTTCCAATTTTCCTAGTCTACATCTAGATTGTAATTTAAAAGCCTTTCACTTCGGGTTCTGATGTTGTTTCAATTAAGGCATTGTAATTCCCATTTCCTGTTGGTCTCCCACGTCACTCAGATTTTCAAATGACCTATTCTGAAGCTCTCACGCCCATAATGCAAGCCCCTCACGTTTTTCCCACACCCGACAGGCTTTTTGCCTATCTAAACATGTCCGAGATTTCCATAAAAATGAAAAAAGCATATTGAATATGTTTAATATATAAAGACATAAGCGGCACACCGGCCAACTACCAAGTAAAAAAAAAGGGGTTCCAAAGTAGGAAGTGATGGCATAAGTAAACAGAAATATGTAAAATCAACAATAGCGAAATTTAAAAAAGAAAACAACGGGCTGAAAAAGGTTCGTGGCCCAAGGTGTCAGTGGTCCTCCAGATTGCGATTCTGAATCCGAATCCGATGCAACCCCAGAAAAAGGCCACTCGAGAGGTGTTAACACGCTGCGGACAATTGACGATCCGGAGGGTGTGAAAATTGGCAACACGCGCCAACCGAACGCCGACCCAAAAACCAAAACCATAGCCACAACCGAGCGAACTTCACCAGCGACAATATGTCAAATGTCACAGGACAAAGGACCGCAACAAAGGGCGAGCGTTTTATTTTGACAAGTGCCGAGTGTTGAACTTAATTTGCGAAGCGTGCCAGTCAAAGGGCTGCCATCCCACCATCCCACCATCCCACCATCCAGTCATCCCGTTATCCTGCTCCTGCTCACTATTCTGGCCAGGATGTGGGCGTGTGCGGGCCATTTTCACAAGCTAATCCGCGACAAACACTCTCCAAGCAGCGCCGCAAAGTAGGCAACAATCCTTGGGCGTGACTCAATGGTTTTAGCACGGCGCACGAGCTACGGCAGGATTAGCTCTTAATAAAAGTTAAATACGCCAATGATTAAATACATTTGCCGCACAAGGCAGCTTATATTTTCCAGTGTCATGCGTTTTCACATTTTGAAACACATTCCAGACAATCAAATGTTTTGTATCTTAAAATTGCTGGTTACAACAATGGTTGGCCCAAGCTTGTAAAGCATCTCCAGAACTCTTACTCCTATCACTTGCAGTATCTTGAGTTGCCTCCAAGCAATAACTTCTCTAAATACATCATAAAGTCTTACTATATTCCCCCTATTATCATTTTTAGCTGGCGATCGCCTGTTGGACATTCCTTGCAAGGTGTGTGGCGATCGCAGCTCCGGCAAGCACTATGGAATCTACAGCTGCGACGGTGAGTCCTGGCGGAGATCGAGTTGACAGCAGTGTAAGCTTAGCTAATCCCTTTCAGGCTGCTCGGGTTTTTTCAAGCGGAGCATCCATCGCAATCGGATTTACACCTGTAAGGCCACCGGCGACCTCAAGGGTCGGTGTCCGGTGGACAAGACCCACCGGAATCAGTGCCGCGCCTGTCGCCTGGCCAAGTGCTTCCAGTCGGCCATGAACAAGGATGGTAAGTACCACCAATTCGTTCCCATGCCCGGCCCACAAGTATTGTTT